TTTATTTATATATTTAAAAAAAAGACGTTAGCGTCACGCGCAGCGATTTGGCAGTTTACCCAGGACTAGTCCATCTATATTTTGAAAAGAGGAGGGGGGAGACGAAATTTTAAAATGTATGCTGTCTGAAAGCCAATGTAAGCGTGAACAATCAATTAAGAACTGAAATGGTTTATCAAATCTTTCCAATGATTGCTAAGATAGAATCCATCTTCTCGGTTGAAATTGTCTCTGTGCTTGTATATGTGGATAGCCTCATGAACGAATCTCTCATGGAAGCCAGATGGCTTACAAAGAACCTCTGTCTTGGAAAAGTCAATGGCATGTGAGCCTACTGAATTAGAACAATGATCTGCTACGGCCGAGGTGTTGGTCCTACCGTGTTTAAGGTCTGCTTTGTGTTCACGAATGCGGTCCGAGACATGGCGTTTGGTTTCTCCAATGTAACTACTACCACAGAGGCAACTTAGTTTGTAGACACCAGGGTATTGTATGTCCGGAATCACATCTTTTACAGACGGAACCAGATCACGGATTTTATGTAATGTGTTGAAACGGACCTGGATCTTGTGTTTATTCAAGATTTTGGAGATTTTTTTTGTGATCCCAGCAATGTAGGGTAAAGTGATGGTTTTGAAAGGCTCCTCAAGAGGGTTCTTCTTCATGGTTTGAGTGATAGCTTTGCGGATTGTATAGTCGGAGTAACCATTAGCCCTAAGAGCTTGGTGTACGTGCTTGAGTTCACTGCTTATGTGTTCCTGGTCGGATATGCATTGGGCTCTATGATACAGAGTCTTGATGAGAGAATTCTTCTGTGATGGATGGTGGTGGGAATCCGGTTTCAGATAAGCATCCGTATGGGTAGCTTTCCTGTAGACAGTGGCTCATTGAACCATCAGGTCTCTTTTTAATTAGGACATCCAAAAAAGGTATCTTGCCATCTATTTCGACTTCCATGGTAAATCTGATGGCTGGGTGTATGGAATTGATGTGGTCGAAGAATTGGTCTAGAGCAGGCCGGCCATGTGGCCAGATGACAAAAGTGTCATCCACGTACCTCTTCCATAAGGTTGGGCGCAGAGTGGCAGTCTGGATGGCGTCAGTCTCAAATTTCTCCATGAAAATGTTAGCTATAACTGGAGAAAGGGGGGAGCCCATTGGGGTGCCCTCAGTTTGTTTGTAGAAAGTTCCATTCCAAGTGAAGTATGTATTGGTTAAACAGTGTTTCACCAGGGGGGGTACCTCAGTGTTTAGTCCTTGATGAACCAAGTCTTCAATGATTGCAATGGTGTCAGGTACAGGAACCTTGGTGAATAAGGAAACTACATCAAAACTGACAAGCAGGTCGTCTGGGGACAGGGAAATACCCTTGATTGTTGATACCAGGTGAGTAGAATTTTGTACCGCAGAGGTGGTCTTTCCAGTGAAAGGACGCAGGATTTCAGACAAAAAACGAGCTAGTTTGTAGGTGGGGGAGCTTATAGTAGAGACTATGGGACGAAGAGGTGTATCAACTTTATGTATTTTTGGAAAGCCGTATAATCTTGGTGGCCTGGCAGCAGAAGGTTTCAACGAAAACTGTTTAGATTGATCAATTAATGCGGTTGAATCAGAAATTATTTTGTTGGTTTGTGTGCTTCGCAACTGTTGTGCTGCAGCGAAAGTCCCAGGTGTGCTGCGGTATTTTCGGAATTTGGAAAGGAACGAACCTCAAGACCCCCCCCCACCGTCCCCTCTCCATTGGTCACGGTGCAGTATGACAGACAACTGTCAGTCACCACCGCCGGCCCTCAACTCTCTCCGAGTCGCGCATGCACAGTTGGGCAAGCAGTCACGGAGACATAGACACGCACGGACGCGGAGACACACACACAGACGAAGAGACACACATACGTGGGGAAACAGGCACTCAGACACGAATACACTCATGCAGTTTGGCAGATTGTTGTCACGGATGTCGCTGACACTTGATTTAGTTGTTCTCGGTGAGATCAGTATTAGCCCAGGATCGTGAATTATCTCTCTCTCAACTACAGCACATTGCCACCCACCCACCTGCGCCTACAGTGAGGTTTTGGCTCGGTGTGCCACGAAGATTGAGCGAAATCAAAAGTGCTCTTAAACGAAGGTTGAGGAGCACTGCTCTCGAGAGTAATCTCTGCATGATTTGATATTAAGTTCCTGAGACCCGTTCGGATGTCCATTTTGTTTGTATCTCTGAACTCGATGCAGTAAAACCTTGGATTGCGAGTAACTTGGTCTGCAAGTGTTTTGCAAGACGAGCAAAAATTTTGAATAAATTTTAATTTGATTTAACAAGCGAGGTCTTGCAATACGAGTAGTGCACGTGTACGCTTTGTACTGCCGAGCGTCACTTGATCACAACTGATGTACGAGTGCTTTGATATACGAGTGCTTTGGATTACAAACACGTTTCCGGAACGAATTCTGCTCGCAATCCAAGGTTTTACTATACTCTTATTTACATTCTGTACATAGTGTACACAAAGTGTTGTGGTTCAACAAAATAGGGAAGCATTGTTAAACTCATAAATAAGAATAAATATTGTACTTTCGCATGTATTTCTGTGATAAATACTGTATAGTAAATAGAGCATAAAATAAAGTACGTAAAAAAGGAAGGTTTATTTATTTATTTTTAAGTTTTTTTATTTTTAAGTTTTTTTTTTTTACTTACCTTGAGTCCTGATGCTGGCTGCTTTTCCGAACGGGGCGAGCTTCACGCGGGAAGCTGGGGCCCATTACATCTCACGGAGGATTCTTCCAGTCGAAAGAAATAGTTTTGCGGTTCAGTTCGTATGTACGACCGAACGTTCGCAAGTTAGGTGGTTAAAAATGATAACGCCTTGTGGCGGTTCGTTCCTCAGTGTGGATGTTCGCAAGTCGGACATTCGTATCTCGAGGACTGCCTTGTACTTTGACATCCCAAGGGTTCACTTGAACGTGTTGCAGCACGTGCATTGTCATCAATGGTTATTAATTTCACTTATAATTTAGACGCCCAAGTGTCGCCGCGGCAACAACGGAGTTGAGCTCCAGCCATCTCCGTTAGCGGCGCTCTGCTGGTGTTGGAAATGCTTGAGTCGCTATGGGACAGCCGCTGGTGGCTTCGCACTCATTTTATTGACCTTGAAGGGATGATGATGATGCATAACCGGGATCTGAACTGGCAACCCTGCTGATGGTTAGTGGAGTGCTCTGCTCACAGCACCACCTGGCACACATTGCATTCACTCGGCCAACGGGTACATGGTACCTGTTTTCAGTTGAATGTGGTAATTGCGTCCCTGAAGAACACCGCGTTATGGAAAAATCGCGTTATAATGAAAAAAATATAATATTGGGTAAAGTGCAATCGGTGATGACACATGAAATGCATACGCAGGCTGAACAAAGACTGAGATACGTGGGTAGCATCTAGAAGCATCCAGCAGCATCCCGTCTTGTGTGATGCTACGCCGAGGCAGCAGTACGACCGCTTATTCCCACGCGCGTGACGTAGTTCTGTTCACTCGATCGCGTTATATCCAATTCGCATCCGCGTCTATATATATAAAAAAAAGGTCTTCCCTAACACATTCATTCATTGGGTTATATCCAATTCGCGTTCTGAAAACCACGCGTTATAGGAGAACAGACGGTACAAAGTTGAACTGTTCGAGTGGTTTCCGGTCGCGCATTGCAGCAGGACTGCTGTGGTCCTCGACCACCACGTTGTGTGTGTGAGGGTTCGCTTGTGTCTGTGAGACTGTTGACCTCTCTGCTTCTCGTTACTTTGTCTCCATGTTCGGGTCCCCCGGTGTCTCCGTTTCTTTTCATCGGTGGCCAGGGCGTGGTGCTGGGCACAGCGCCCTTTTATGCGCCGTGCGGGCTGTCATAGGTGCTCGCTTAGCAGTGCTTGCCCCGACAGCTTCTGTAGGCTGCACAGGGGATCTTTGTATTCATCTTCTGGGTTCTTTTGGTAAAGTCACGTAGAATGGGGATAGAATAATAAAAATAACAACAATAAAATTCTCACGACGTTTCGGGCCACAACACAAGTAGCCTTCCTCGGGTGAAGAAACAGGACTGTCCGGAAGACAGCGCTTCAGTGTTTCTCCCTCTCGTTCTATCTTTGTATTTTTGTTGTTTTATCTTCATTCTCTGTTCATGTATTATTCATGTCAGTCACTCGTTATGTTTCACCCTGATCTTGTTGTCTCGATCTAAATCTGGCTGGACTCGTCTACCTCGGGAGTGTTTCTCCGTCTCGTTCTGTCTGTTGCAATGCTTGTCCCTGTCCGTGTCTGTCTGTGTGCTACCCAATCTTCTCTGTCGCTACATTTCAGCGTCTGTGCATACCCTTCTGCCTCTCACTGTCTCTGTGTGCACGGACTTATAGTTCCTGCGCCTTCGTGTCTGCCCGGCCTGTAGCCGCATCTGCCATCCCCTCATCGCTGCCTTATCTCTCCCCGTGTCCCTCTCCTCATCGCCTCGTGTCTCCGTTCAGCTCTCTTTCTGAGCTTTATGACTCCTTGCATGCGCTTTCCAATCCTCTTGTTCATGTCAGGCTTCCTCAACTCGGCCCATTGACCCTCCAGGGTAAATTAATGAGCATGGTATTCCCTCGTAATTCACAAACTTGCCACATGTGATGTTGGCTGTCCGCGAATCTCATCTGGCACTCTACACGACCGCATCGAGAGAGAGAGAGAGAGAAAGCGATGAGAGGAAATGTGACATGATGAAGTGATGAAATTAAGCGATGAGACAAAGTGATAATGTTTATGTAATAGCTGATTTAAGTATTTCTTTAAGGTAATTTATCGTAGGCCGATATCATTATCCGCGAAACGTGCTTTTCACGAGTATCCCCGGAACGTATCCCACGGGTGAGGCCTTTTTATTGAATCCAAAAATCACAAAGTTAAAGCAGCGAATGCATTTTTTGACACTTGGAACGATGCTCATGACATTTGTTGTCGGCGTTGTTTTTGCAGGGAGAACCCGGAGCGCATTTTTGAAGTCTTCGTCGAGGTGTCCTGCCCGGTGTCGACAGGAGATGGTAACTGTGCTCTCGCTCGGCGCTACACCCCTTTGCAGAAAGCCCACAGTCGCACGCATCACATTGTTTACTGCTGTAACTTGCCGACCCGCCCATACGGGACATCTGCGAAAAAGAGCTTCATGGCTCATCGGGTTCCTGCTGCAATCTAAATAATGATTCTAATTATGACATGCACCACTGGGGAAGGGGAGCGGTGGTAAGCGCGCTGCGCCGTGAACCCGACGATCCGAGTTCCATTCGCGGCCCACGATTAATAACCAGCGATGAGCGATGCTTGCGCGCAACCCCCATCGTCACCCCGCACTGGCCAGCGTGGTGAAGTATGGTCCAACAATGACCGTGAGGGAGCATTCAGGAAGAGCTGTGAATTGAATGTTTATTGCACAGTGTACGCGTATAATATTCGCGTAACCGAGTGGGAGCCTACCGGGACAGGTCTCTCGCGCGCGCTGAAGTAAGGGGGCAAACGTGGTCGCACAAGTCGAGGTGAGATTTAACGTAATTTTTTTTTATCGCGACGTGAATTTGCAAAGGATGCACGCAGCGGGAAAATGTGATGCATTTGTCGGTGAGTCTGCGCCCGCGTGCCCCCGTGCGTGCCCCCGTGCTTGCCCCCGTGCGTGCACGGTTTGTGCCTTGTACTTAGCGGATGTGCTGGACGCGTGTGCGTGTGGTAAGGCGGTTGCCTTGCACCGTGACCTTTGCTTGGGGGGGCGCGTCAGGTTTCCGGCAGGTGAGGTGCCAAATGAGCACTTTTTTTTGGCCTTGATTTGATATTTTCAGAAATTGCAACAACAACAAAGTAAAACCGCGTTCGTCAGCAACACTGTGGCTTTCAAAAACAAAGAAGGGCAAAATGGCCCTTCCTCGCAGCTGTTTTGCCAGAGAGGCCTCACTGTTCGGTGCAGACGTGCCATTGCCCAAAACGTCACCTGTTATACTATAATTTATTATCATATATTTTTTTGTTATAGTGCCACAATGATATTGAAACACAAATAAACTGTTTTAATAATTTGATTTAAAGCTTTCGTGACTGCAGGGATTCATATTCTTGGTTCTTTCGGTAAAGTCACGTAGAAGGGAAACAAATAAAAATATAAAAAATAAATATATTGTTTTATATTTGTATTATTTTTTAAATTATTTTATTGTTTCCCTTCTACGTGACTTTACCGAAAGAACCAAGAATACGTTTTAATGTTACCAGGTAATGCCCACTGAGCTATGAACTCTTTTTCAGAGGCGACCTGGCCACAAATGATAGCTCAATGGAGCGCCTTATCGCGTGTGGGAATTTATAGGAGCAGCCAAACTCTCTATAAGCGCATTAGACGAGTGTGCTGAGTTGTGTTATTGTTGTGTGTGTGTTATTGTTGTGTGTGTTATTGTTGTTGTGTGTGCTATTGTTGTTGTTGTGTGTGTTATTGTTGTGTGTGTGCTATTGTTGTTGTGTGTGTTATTGTTGTTGTGTGTGTTATTGTTGTTGTGTGTGTGTTATTGTTGTTTATGTTATTGTTATTGTGTGTTATTGTTAGTGTGTGTGCTATTGTTGTTGTGTGTGTTATTGTTGTTGTGTGTTATTGTTGTTGTTGTGTGTTATTGTTGTTGTTGTGTGTTATTGTTGTTATGTGTGTTATTGTTGTTATGTGTGTTACTGTTGCGCGTGTTACTGTTGCGCGTGTTACTGTTGCGCGTGTTACTGTTGCGCGTGTTACTGTTGCGCGTGTTACTGTTGCCGTCTTATTGTTGTGTGTGCTTGAGCATCACTGCCAATGCAGCATAAGCGAATAATTTAGGATTTTTTATTTATTTTAAGAAATGAGATTTAAGGCAGTTGCTTGTGGGTGAGACTGTGACTATTTTTGCACAGCAATCGCAGTGAGAAGCGAGTGAGTGCGTGGAGGGAAGAGAGCACTCAGCATGTTTAGGTAGCAATGTGCATCATAATAATAACGCAGGATGCGAAGAGGGGATCAAGGGGCGTTTTTGCTTTAGCAATGCAGTTTTTTTGATGGACCGCATGAATCACTTTATAGGAATTGAGAGGACGTTGTTCGTGTTATAAAGATGGACGTTTGATTGACGGGTCGGGGAGCAATACGTGAACAACACAAAACTCAAAAAATGAGCATCTGTCCTTTGGATAGAGGCACGCGCGCGTGTCGGATGCTTGAGAGTTTCGTGATAGCGCGGGTTGAGCAGCGTTCTTTCTTGTCAATAAACAGCGGCAGGTAGCGTTGCAGGTGCAATCGGGAAGTGTTGCGGTGCAGTGTACGGGGACGTGTGTGCAGGACGGAGGGAGGGAGGGCGGTCGGGTTGGGGACACTGGTGTTGGGAGTGGCTCTCAGCGCTCGGCAGTGAAGTGGCGAACCCCTTGGTGAGAGGATCGGGTGCCGACTGTGCAACAGTTATGACCCTGGCAAGAGCTAGCGGTGACAGTGTAATGGCATCAAAGCTATTGACCGTGATGACTCCTCGATTTGATCCTGAGTGAGGTCTGCCAGCTTCAAGAGCACTGATTGATCATGTGACATTACACAAAAAAGCGTGTTCCAGGACACCGTAACCCCGGCGTGGCCAGGAATAGCGGCCGCTAATGCTTCGCTGCTGTGACGCCGCCTCATTAAAGCGTGCGGCGCAGGGTGGCGCTGCTCGGCACGCCAAGGTGACCTGGCCACCTGATTGAGCCTGCGTGTCGCTCGCTCCATGCTGCTCGCCCTGTGATGCTCGCTCCGTGGAGCGCAATCAAGCTCATTTGGCGGTGGTGGCGGCAGCGGCGGCAGCGGCAGTGGCGGCAGCGGCTCACTAATGCGACGTGCCTTCCTGTCCCTTCCCCACGCAGGTGCCGAAGTGCTATGGAAGTACCCGGAGGATTATTACAAGCAGGTGAATGCACTCGGGGGGGGGGGGGGGGGTGTGGGGGTGAATCTCACATCGTGCCACACAGAGCCAGGGTACCACGCCACCAGCCGATTATAAAACCCTCTTCACCTTAGTTTTAGTTGTCCTTCCCCCACACTTCCGATTAGCATGGTTGGCTACGTACGGTGCGAAAGAAGTGCATTGTGCAGCAATCCCTCGCCCACCGTGGGGGCTAGGTTCCTGGAAAATGCTGCGGTAGACAAATCTGCGGTTGCTGAAGTGCAGGGGCCTGTGGAAAATACAGTGCATTACACAATAACGTAATGAAACAAACATTAACTTTACGTACATTTTCACATTAACGATGATGATGATGATGATGACGGTGAAAATTCGACGATGGCGGAAGGGCTGGTGAGTGGGAGGAGGTGCCTCGCCCGTCGTCCGGCGCTTGTGAGCTGGGGTTGGTGGATTACGCCGAAATCACCGAGTGTTGAGAGGCTCCCCCGTGCCTACTTTGCTGCTTTTAAGTGGCTTAGGTGATGGCAGCAACAGCGAATGCTGCCCGTGTCGATTTTGAGGGCAGGAGCGGTGCGAGTGGTCGCTCGGGGGTTTTGGAGGGAACGCAACTTAATTCGTAAATTCCTCCCACGTACAAAACATTAACAAACTGGCCAATATAGACCCCCACCCCCTCCCCCACTCCCTTTCCCCTGGGGAAAAAAAAGTCTTCAAAACGCTGAGTTCAGAGAGGTTTTTGAGATGGTGACATGGCCTCGCCGATTCCTACAGAGGAGCACGGTTCGAATCCAGTGATGCGCCCCGATTATTACTGCCGGTGCACAGTGGACGTTCAAGACCCCATAACGTCATCCGCAAGGGTGGGCCACCATGTGCCGGAGTTGGGGGCTCTAAAATCTTCCACGAATCACTCAGCTGGGATTACGCACACGGGCAGCAGCATTCATTGACCCCCCCTCCTACTGGCAGACTCACGCCCCAGGTCACTCTTGCAAATGAGCCTCATCCTGGCCTTTGAGTTCTCGCCTAGTTAAAGGAAGGAAACTTGAGTAATTGAAGGACTTTTGTTGTTATATGCACATGCTGGACAATAGAAGGGGGAGGGAGCGGTGGCACCCTGGTCATTGCACTGTGCTATGAACCCGGCGACCCGAGTTCGATTCCCGCTCGCCAGCGACCGGTGACGAATATCTAAATCGGTCCTGGGCCGCACTTGGATCAAGTCGCCCTTTTAATTCCTCCCCGGCGATGGCTGTCATCAGTGGCGAGTGATGTCTGAACCAGGTCTGGTGCTGCCTTCGCTTGACCTGCACCGATAAAGTTGCAGTGGTACCTCGGTATACGTCGTTCATTCGTTCCAGAAAGTGACGTCTACCAAACTAATTTTTCCCATAAGAAATAACGGGAAAGGAAATAATCCGTTCCAGAGTATAATAAATGATATTTTATGTGGCATATTATACATTAATGTGGTTGTATAACATAATGTAGACACTACTTATTACTAAAATGCATACATACATTAAAATAAATGCATAAATAAATTAAAATAAATTGATCTCTTTTTTCACGTCAATAGTCATCCTAACCATTTTCTTTGTAGCTTGTCTTTTCTCACTAACCTTCATAGGGCCCATCTTGAATGAGTTCGCAAAAAAATTCACGTGAAAATGGCACAAAAAAACACGTGAAAATTCACAGTTCTAGCAAGGGTTGTGCACTGAACGAGATCTACAGGCAGACTGAGGAGCGGCGCTTTGTTTCAGTCGTGAACGGGGTCCACGCGGGTACGCGGTGACTCATCCCGACCCATACAAGTTCTAGCAAGCGAGGCATCGTATCCCAAGACATTTTTTTCTCGTCAAAACACGACGTATACCCAATTCGACGTATTCCAAAGCGGTCGTATACCGAGGTGTGACTGTATTCTGTAACACGCCCCCCATTTACAATACAGCGTGGCGAAGCCTCCGTCCAGCAGTGGATTGACAGCGGGGTTTTAAATGGTATATTTTCATATCCACCATGGGAATACTCGTGGCAATTCCATAAAAGCCAGTGTGTGGATGAGATGAGCGTCCCTGGAGGGGCGTGTTGACAAACCCGCAATCTGGAGCCCCCTCTGTTGTGATCCACAAGAGAAGCGGAGATTACACCTGTTTGCTAAAACATCGGATAACGGGAAAGAATTCCGGCTATCAGATAAAGGACGGAATTCTTCCTGAGAAAGATTACGAATTTGATTTGTGTAATTTGTTGCGTGCGTCGTCATGCACGAGCGTGTGCTTGTGTCGTGTGAGTGTGTGCCGTGTGTGCACGCACATTGTGTTTGAATCGCTGTATGTGTATGTCACGTGAGTGTATGTAAGGCACGGGTCGTGTATGTGTGTATGCGTTTGTGTGTGCGCGCGCGAACACGTATGAGTGAGTAGGCACGTGTGTGTGTGTGTGTGTGCGCGCACGCATGTGTTGTGAGGGTGCATGTGAGTGAGTAGGCACGGGTCGTACTTTTCTGTTATGAGTGTGTGTATGCGCGCACGATTGATTGAGTAGACACGGGTTGTACGTGTGTGTTATGAGTGTGTGTATGCGCGCACGATTGATTGAGTAGACACGGGTCGTACGTGTGTGCGTGAGGAGCGGTAGTGTAGCGGTTGACGTGTTGTGCTACGAACCCAGCTGACCGAGTTTGATTCCCGCTCACGGCCAACACCAAGTGACGATTATCTGAACTGGTCCTGGGCCTCCCCTAGGTCGACTCAGCCTCAAATGAGTACCTGGTGCGGTGTGTAAAATTGTTGCCACTGGTGAGACAAAGGCGATTGGGCGTGGTGCTGGCCACCCACCCCCTCGTGTGCCGTGCTGTTCTTCATAGGTGCTCTCTAACAGCTATATGGGGGGGAGCTTTGTCTATGTGTTCACGTGTTATTGACACTGCCGCTTACTATTTCCCGCAGGATGTGCTCGGCACTATCCCCAAGTTCTGCTTTCCTTTCGATATGACCAGGTGAGTGTTTGGTTTGTTTGGGGAGCTGGTGTCATCTGTTCTGGTTGTACCTTTGTATAGCGATGGGTTTGGTTGACTGTCGTGGTGTGTGGGTGTGTGTGTGTTCGCGCGTGTAATGGTGAGACTCGAGACACTGCACGTGTGTGCGATGAGATCACAGTCATTGATCGGTGCTTCCTGTTCACACAATTAAATGCATTTTCACCTTGTGTAGTAGCTCCGTCTAAATGCTGCCACAACTCAAGCCGCCTCACAGACTTTTGCTTAAAATGATAACAGATTGAATGCAAAACCTAGAGAAACTCTATACCACTTCTATATCAATTCAATCAATGTTAATACATCGTGTTTTTCGGTTTTTATATTTTTGTTTCGATTTCTATTGCCCTCACCGCTGTACCTTTACTTGATTGGTTTTGCTTCCGTTCTATCGGTGTCCCAGGTCACTGTTGCGAACGAGACTCAACCTGGTTCTCTGGAGTTCGTACCTGGCTGCACAAAATCAACTTGACACTTAAACCAACTGTGTGAAACCCTGGAGCTCGGCTTGCTATAACATTGAGTCGAAGCACCGCAGTAGTCAATGCCAGGCGTGTCATTGCACAATTTCACTTTCCCCCTGGACTTGCCTTGCTCCCCCTCCCCCCCAGTGCCCTTTGTCATAGCCTGAGCACTGGCGGTGGTGGCAATGCTAAGCGGCATTCACCTCTCTTGGCTATCCATTAATATTGCTGTCAGCGCCAGCACACGAGGTGGGGGTGAGGGGGTCACAGCCTTTGTAAGTGCAGGTTTATGTAAGTTTATCATTGTTGAGTGAGCGTGCCGTCACGTTGATGTTCCTTCAGTTCTTTGCCGTTTAGAGCGTCTCGCGATTGACCCCCGTGTCGGGGAAGTCAGCTGTTGACATCCTACGGAGAGACTGGCCCCTCGTCTTGGGAGTGGATCCTGGTCGTGGTTAGACTCGGCCCGTTCTTGGGTAGTTAAACGGGTGGTCGTGCTGTGGAGCGATTAGCTCCTCCCATAGTAAAGTGGAATGTCCTCCGGCTCAATATGTACGAGTTATCACTATTGAAATTGCAAAACTTCAACATTGTCCCTGAATAATGTGCCCTGCCCAATTGCAATCGGTCTCCCCTGAGAAGGTGCAAATAGAAATCTATGGGCTCTTAGCCAAGTACTTGAAATACTGTACTTGGCTAAGATGAATTTGTGTGTGTGCGCGTGGGGTGAGTCTGCACATGGGGAGCAGTGGTTAGCGCACCGCTCTACAAACCTGGTGACCCGAGGTCAATTCCCGCTTAGGGGCCAACACCGCTGATAAAATATCTGAAACCGCCGCTTGGCCTCTTTTCAGCCTTACATGGTGCGATGTATAAACATCCTCATTGGAGGGACGAACCTCTGGGCGTGGTGCTGGCCATCCACCCCTCGTGTGCCGTGCAGGCCTTAAAAGGAGCTCGCTAACAGAACTTTCCCGAATGGTCTGTTAAAGGCCGTACGGGTGGTCTCCACTTCTACGACGTCACGTAGCATTCCTGGAACCCCGAAGTTGTAAATGGGACCGTTGTCAATCTGAACTTATTTTCCGATAGACCACGGGTTGCCAACCTGCGGCTCTTTAAGGACACCGCTTCGTGATGACGTCATTTATTAAGGACCCACCGTCTTGTGTTCACGTGCATCGCGGCTCTTGAAATATTGACTTTGTTACTGAATTCGAGAAACATTATCTTGTCATTACGATTGCCTACCCCTGCCGTAGACGGTAGAAACGGCAGAAACATCACCTGGTGATGCGTATTTCCACTTATCATCCGTATCGAACAGGGTTTAATTGGCAAACATCCATAAAAACACTCGAATGGTTAAAGCTCCATGCCAAGTCACATCGGAAACCAGACCGACTCTGTTCAGATGCGTTCGGAGTCGTGTCGGAAAGATGCGTCTTAAATCAAGTTTCTGCGTCGCAAATGAATCCTTCCGATTAGCACGGCTGGCGGAGTACGATGCCAAAGAAGTTCAGCGTACCTACACACGTGGATTATACTGGTAGGAACTTCCTGGTTCCACCAGCCCACAGGGGATTATACTGGTAGGAGCCTCCTGGTTCCACCAGCCCACAGGGGATTATACTGGTAGGAACCTCCTGGTTCCACCAGCCCACAGGGGATTATACTGGTAGGAACCTCCTGGTTCCACCAGCCCACAGGGGATTATACTGGTAGGAACCTGCTGGTTCCACAAGCCCACAGGGGATTATACTGGTAGGAACCTCCTGGTTCCACCAGCCCACAGGAGATTATACCGGTAGGAACCTGCTGGTTCCAACAACCCACAGGGGATTATTGTGTCCGTCCGTCCGCCGTGCATCCAAAAATGGGAGGGGTGGGGTGGGAGGGGCTGGGTGGGGAGGGAGGGGAGGGTGGGGAGGGGCTGGGTGGGGAGGGAGGGGCTGGGTGGGGAGGGAGGGGCTGGGTGGGAAGGGAGGGGCTGGGTGGGGAGGGAGGGGCTGGGTGGTGAAGGCTGCCACGGCACACACGAGGGGGTCGGTGGCCACCGACCATGTCCGGCCATCTTCACGACATTTTTCCCTCCACGTGGAGAATCAACAACATGCGTTTGGAGTATACGGCTGCTCTCAATCTCTACTTTATAAGCTGCCAATTCGTTTAGCCATCATTCGAGGCAAGGTCAATTCGGAATCATATACAGCTCAGTGGGCCCTGCCCTTTCAAAGCGGAATACACCACCACGTGGTGCCGCCGCCGTTGATCCTGGCCATTGACCGAGCAACCCGACGTTCCTACCAGCTCCCTCCGCAGGAGAATGTGTTGTGAACGTCGGGAATGTGGTTCGTCGCAAATCAGACCATCGTGAACCGGAGGCCGTCTGGACAGGTCGCTTCTGAAAAATAAATTAATACCGCGGTGCACTTTGCCTTGTTGCAATGGGGATGGTTTAGTTTTAATGTTTTTGGATTATTTGTTTATCTTGTGCTTTGCACTGCCATTGTGCTTTCGGATTGTATTGTTGCTGTCACGTTCTTACTCGCCCCTACTGGACATCTGTGAAAAAGAGCTTCACAGCTCATCGGATTCCTCCTGCACCGATTGAAGCCGTTTTTTTTCTTCGCAGGGTGAGCCTGCGGGACGTGGGCCAGAGCTTCACGTTTGTGCTCACGGACGTGAGCGGCACGCAGAGCTTCGGGATATGCCGCATGTGCCCGGCGTCGCACACCTGCCTGGCTCTGCTCAGGTGAGCCACGTGGGGGGCGGAGCGGGGAGCGGGCTGGGGTGGGTCGCAGGGCGCCTCCTCATCAGCTGGGCGCATGTGGACAGAGAAGCGTGCTGAGACTGCCCCCTCTCTCTCTCTGTGTGTGTGTGAATCACTCGAGCTAGCGGAGAAGGGTCCTAGCTAATGAATGTTCCTGCGGTGGGAGAGAAGTGGCGTATCGCGACCTCACCCAGCAGGATTCATGACCATTCACAACGTCGATGGCAGGTGTCCTGGGCCTCGCTTTAAATGAATACCCAGTGCTGTTGTGGAAACAAAAGCACTGGGGGTTACAAAGCAGCCAGGTGTGATTCTGGCCACACAACTTACTCGTGCCCTGTGCTGGCATTAACAATTTATCTCGAGCAGCACTTACTCCCTACCGTCTGTAAGCCTACATCGGAGGATCATTATTTCGTGCGATATGTTGTTTACTTCTGCGTCGAACTGGGACCCATGTCTAAGAGAGAGAGAGTCCTTGCAGTTTACCAACATTGGTTTAATCAAGCCTGACTCTGCTGATGAGACACTGACCATCGCAACTGGGTGCAGAGTCTGCCTGTGTTGAACCAATGCTTCTGAAATGATGCACTCTGAGAAGGCCGTGCGGCTGATGCGCTTGTAGTGTCTGTCTATGTGGCAGAATAGCTCAGCAGCATTCATAACTCTTAACCAGTGTTCACATCGATGGTTCAGTTCCCCAAGTCACCCATCATTTTGTGAGGAATTGCCAAGGCCTGCCCACCGCGTCGAAGTAGACATTCAAGAAGAGTCGGCAGATTCTAGATTTGAAGCTTTCGTGACTGCAAGGATCCATACTCTTGGGTTCTTTCGGTAAAGTCACGTAGGTAAAATTAAAATTAAATAAATGAAAACAACTAAATTAAATCACGACGTTTCCCTCCCCCCCCCCCTTAACCTGTATATAATGTCGGTTGTCTCAGAGCTCTCCACTTGATACAGCTATTCTGCTGTGACTTCCACCTGAAGACGGAAGCTTGGGTTGCCTCCGAAACCTTGCGATTCAATTTAGTTGTTCTAATTTATTTTATTTTTATTTTACCTACGTGACTTTACCGAAAAAACCAAAGAGTAAGAGTCGGCAGCTTCGTTCCTGTGCCAATGTTCAAGTTCGATTTTTTAAAAGGACTTGCTACGTTGCAACAGAATGCTTTATGAGCACTAATAATTACCCACAGCGAACAATGATTGCCTAGGCCTCCGTTGTGAGCAGAATTATCTGAAAGGAAGAAAGCACCCAAGGAAAGCAGCAGCTGACCCACGACAATGTTTGCTGCGAACATCTGCTGCATTGCACGGAGATGGCTGGCATGGTGTAACGGTCAGCACACTGGACTCGCAGTGCAGCAGGTCGCCCGTTCGATTCGGTCTCTCCGGTTGCGGCACTTGAGACGATGGGACGAGATTACTCAATCCACCACCACCCTCCTCCTCCCCCCCCACCCCTCTCTGTTCACCCAGCAGTGTAACGGGTGTACCGCCGTTTTTTTTATTAAACAGCATCCCTGGACAAAGGACGAGCGATGGGGAGAGAGGGGGGAGTAGAGATATTCCGCGTACGTCAAGCCCTGAGGCCCGATACCCACGAGGCAAGGGGAAAGGGAAGGTGGTTGGGGCTGGCCTTCACTGCCACACTATTCACGTAGCAGGGGCGACGTTCAGGAGCGTGCTATTTATAGAGAAAGGGGAGCCGAGGGAAGATGGGATGGGGGGGGGTTAGAGAATGTACCGAAACAGAACGCCAATATAAAATAGACGTAAACGCACCGAGCGAGCCTCTCGTTATCGTGAATCCCCCCGGGGCTGCGGCTACCTCATGGCCTATCTATCTGTGGAGCGGTTTGCCCTGAGTCCGTCCCCGCCCGGGTGCACCGCAGTGAATCGTTTGGGGAGATTGCACGCGGTCGTGGTCGAGTGTTGCTGGGGGTTCTTTTCTCTTCCAAGATATCTTGCCAGCATGGAAGACTGGGCCGATGTTCTCACTAAAAGGGAGCTCTGTAGCGTTCCGTCTCTCGTGGAAGGCCCCCTTACGCCGGCAGTGACGTGAGCAAGGAATCGCAGGGTTCTGCGCCTTGTTACCTCTTTGTTTACTTCTGAAACCCAGTCCAAGTCCGTAGCCATGGAGTCAACATTGGGGGGCCAAATTTTCCAGGGGGGTCTGGGGGTCCCCCCCCCCAGAAAAAAATCTAAATTTGAAAACGAATTTCCTGCCTAAAATATAAAAAAATCACTAACATAGGATGGCCTTTTTATTTATTTTTTTACAATAATGTCTAATAGTGTATTGTTGTATTTACATTGCTCTGTTTTTTCTTTTTTACCTTTTCTTGTTTCATTGTTTGTGATAGCAGAGATTAGGGATTAATAAAGTACAACCATAACCACAATCATATAAACAGAAATCTATTGTATAGCAATATATTGGGGGGGGACATTTTGAGCATATTTGAATATTGGGAGGGGGGGGGGATGTGTCTCCCCCCCCCCCCCCCAATATATATTAAAACTAGCTGTACTACCCGGCTTTGCCCGGGACTTGGATTCACCACGCCCGGCCGCCTTTGTCTCCCCAGTGGCGATGTTCACACACCACAACAATTACTCGTTTGAGGCTGAGTCGACCTAGGGGAGGCCCAGGACCGGTTCAAATAATCGTCACCGGTGGTGGCCGTGAGCGGGAATCGAACTCGGGTCGCCGGGTTCGTAGCGCGGCGTAGCGCTAACTGCTACACCACAATGCGTTACGCTTCCACATGCGAGGGTCACATGACAGATTTGACCTCACAGCTCACTTGCCGTGCAAAAATATTATATGCATTATTAAGCTTCCCCCCCTCCCAGACTGTACACCATGCAAACATTATAAAGTGTATTTTTATAATGTTTGCATGGTGTACAGTCTGGAAATTACCCACGTGGCAAATTTCAAGTTTGTTGCATGTCGGGAAGTACACTAAACATTTTGAACAGACACACATAATCACAACTTTGCCTTTTATATGTATGGAGATTACGGCCGTGGTTTAGTCACTTCCTGGAACAAGTGCAGCCGGTTCTATAAGTTCCCCAGTACCGCCGACAACTCCGTTGCTCCAACATCGGAGACTCGCCCCCACGCACCATGTGTCGTGACATGATCACGTTCCATGTCGTGACAGCACGAGAGCGAGTGACATGCCGGCGATTCTTGTCTGGCTTCTGGTCTGGGGTGTCGCGGTGGCTAGGAGATGTCAACTCCTTCGCCTGGTACGCAGGAGGTCGTGGGTTCGATGACGACCCTCACGCCTGCTGCTGCTGTATATTTGGAGTTTGCGTGTCTCTCTCTCATCATCATCATCACGGTGGCTAGGAGATGTTAACTACCTCGCCTGGTACGCAGGAGGTCGTGGGTTCGATCACGACCCTTACGCCTGCTGCTGTATATTTGGAGTTTGCGTGTCTCTCTCTCATCATCATCACGGTGGCTAGGAGATGTTTACTACCTCGCCTGATATACAGGAGGTTGTGGGTTCGATCACGACCCTCACGCCTGCTGCTGTATATTTAGAGTTTGCGTGTCTTTCCCCGTGGTTGCCGTGGATTTTTTCTTCGGGTCCTCCGTTTTTTTTCCTCCATATTTATTATTAACATGTGCTTTGAGCATTTGACTGCTATACATTTCCAGGTGATAAGCCACTTCGTTGAGCTATCATTTGTGGCAAGGTTGCTTCATTGCCTCCTGGCAACAAAGGCATTGGAAGTTTGAAACAAAGCCCATGGTCGCGACTGTATAGTGCTCAGTTAATAGCAGCGGCCTAAGGGACTCAGCAGTTATGATTCTGCGTTAAGGCCCTTCCCATTGTGCAATCCGTAGCCTCAGCTGAAACTTTCGCACCCCCCTACAGCCACTGAAAGTATTACGGTAAACAAAGTGCGCCCACTTCAAACATTGTCGTTACATTGTACAAACAATTCGAATCATTTAAAACGTGATAACACATGCAATTTTAGTGTGAGTGGTTTATTCAGCAGTGCTTTAGTCAAAGGTAAGTGTTGCATAGTGGATATTCCTACCGTGAAAACATTAAACGAGTTATGACATGTCACACGTGTAAAATATTTTTGGGATAGCCCGCACCTCCATATGCCCCGCAGGGTCTTGTTTTGTTTGTAAAAAGTGGTATACCCCACGGGTTATATGCGGGAAAATACGGTAATAGTATCCATTATGTAACAGTCAACCCATTCATAATCATCCATCACTGCCCGCCCATTCATTTGCGTGGGATACACGCCCGTGGTGGAGAGTTGGTGTAGGGGAGACGCGACGTCAGCACGACGCAGTGGGATGCGGTTGACGTCATCACCCAGATGCGCGCGGTGACGTCACCACCGGGCACTTGGCCGCCCGTGTGCCAGTCAGCCAGCAAAACTCTTCTTCTGTTCAGTAAATGATTATATGTTCCTGGCACGCTGCATTGTGGGAAGATGTATCCTTGCAAGAATAAAGGTATCAGCCACCCAGCAATGCATTCCTTCAGAAAAAAAACTAGTGGCAGTTGCGTTTACCTTTAATTGGCGATCACCGGGAATTACGTGAATTGAGATTCTCACTCAGTAGACTCGCTTTAATGCCACAAGTGGGACATCAGTGCAGTGTGAGGCTGCAGAGTCCGGGTCTCCTAAGTGCATGTTGTAAATATGTGTGTGTGTGTGTGTGTTGCGCTTTCTTCTCTAGTTACCTGCCATGGTTCGACGTTTTCCACCGTCTTCTAAACACCCTGGCTGAGCACATCAACAAGGCAGAGGCACGCCCACGCACGCTCGCACGTACCTACGCACGCGTCCTCGGTCGAAGTCCTTACCTCCACCTACGCAAAATTTCCTCTCACTTGCGCCGGCTGCTGCTCCAGCGACCACGGCCTTCTTACGAAGCCCCGGGTCAACCCTTGCGCTGTGGGAGGTCGCTCATCCCCCCTCTGCTGCCCCCGGGAAGTCTTGGAAATGGCAGTTAAAATCCCGGTCGTGGATCACTCTATCATCTGTCTGGACTCGTTCAAATGAGTACCGCTTTCTGGGAAGTCCGCATTGGTGCTTCGCTGGAAAGGCTGGCCACCATTATCATCGTCGTCAGCCACGTTCTATCAGCTGCTCGACAGGGGCGGCACAGTGGCGAGATGTTAACTACCTCGCCCACTATACGGAAGGTTGTTGGTTTTATCCAGACGCTGATGCCTGTATGTTTGGGAGTTTGCATATTCTCCCTGTGATAGTGCAGATTTGTCTCGGGGTCCTCCGGGTTTTTCCCTCCACATTTAGAAATATGCATTTAGAGTATTTCGCTGCTATAAATGTCAATGTGATAAGCCACTTTGCTGAGCTATAATTTGTGATAGCCAGGTTGCTTATGAAAAAGAGCCACACAGATCGGTGGGCCTTACCTGGTAAAAAATGATAAAGTTTTAGTTTAGAGTGCCGCACCTCTGTAGGGTGCCGCTTTCTACGTGACATAACGTGGACTCATTATGATACCTCCTTTGCCAGTAACAAGATATAGTAATAGGTTTTACCCTTTTAACTGGCAAAAAACTGACACCTTTATTCAAGGCATCATGTTTGCAATAACCACAACACAAGCAGTAAAAATGCAAACAAAAGAGACAACTCTGATAATAATATGCACTGTCCTTGAATTTGATTGGTCCACACCCGAGATGGCTTTTCTTAGAGCCAGTCTCCTCTGGTGTTTTTTTGCCAGTTAAAAGGGTAAAACCTATTACTATAACGTGGACTCATCGCGAGCCGTTGTCACGCCGCTATCGTGGGCGTTGATTACTGAGCGCGTGTCCCTGTGTAGGAGGTGTGGGGAGCGGTTAGCGCGCTACGCTACGAACCCTGTGACGTGAGTTCGATTCCTGCTCACGGCCAACACCAGTGACGGTTATCTGAACCGGTCCTGGACCTCTCCTAGGTCGACTCGGCCTCAAATAAGTACCTGGTGCGGTGTGTAATCATTCACTTCTGGGGAGACAAAGGCGGCCGGGCGTGGTGCCGGCCGCCCACCCACCCCCTCATGCGCCATCCTGGCCTTCGTAGGTGCTCGCTAGCAGCACTTGCCCCAATAGTCTGTTAGGCTACAGGGGTAATCTTTGGCTTGTGTGCAGGAGGGCTGCGTGCAGCAGCTGCTGCTCTCGCTGCACGAGCGCGAGGTCCCGGAGCCCGGCACGCCCCTGCAGCTCACCCAGGTGAGCTTCGTGCACCACCCCCGCCCCCCTGCCCCCCCCCCCGCCCCCGGCCCCCCCCGCCGCTCCGGCGTTCTTCCCACGTCCGTGCTCTCTGCAAGTCGTGCCGGGGCGTGCAGGGTGGTGGCGTGGGGGGGAATGCTCGATTCCAACTCGGGCGCCTTCCCGCGGTGCAGTTTGGTGTTGTTTCCCTCCCTGTTGCTAAGCGTGGGTCTACCCCGGATTCTCCGGTTGCCTCCCACGCCTAAAGAAAACACACAATGCAAGCGCTATTGGGCAAACGTCGCCATTGCGGAAACATTACCAGCAAATTACTCAAATCGGATCAATTGACGTGGTGCTGGCCACCCATGCCCTCGTGTGCTGTGGTGGCCTTAATAGGTGCTGCTCGCTGACAGCACTTGTCCAACAGTCTTAAGGCTATCTTTGTCTTTGGTGATGAAGCCAAGCGTGCCTGTGTTGGTGATGGTGGTGGTGGTGATGATGACCATGATTAATGTTGCAAACGGTGTCGTGTTTTGCAGCTCACTTACTTCATCTCTCCGGATCTCAGAGAGCTGCCAACGATTCCAGAAAATGTGAGAAGTGGGCAAGTATGGCGTGGGATGAACGGAGTGTAATGGTTTCACGAGTTTGTTAACGTAACAAAGATTACTTTCGTGATACTGGGGATGATGTCACTCCAATGGACAGCAGCGCATTCTCTATTAAGCAGCAGGTAGAGAGAAGGAGCGCTGTGTAGGAAAGGGGAGAGGGGGGCGGGGGAGAAGGAACAATCATTCCAAGACGTCGGGGATGGGAGGGTGGCAGTGATGACGATGAGAGGGGAGGGCAGGGAAGAGAGTGAGAAGAGAGAAGGAAGGAGAGAGCAGTAGTGAGCTGTACAGTGCAGCAGTGGCGTCTGTTTTCGGAGGTGGTGGCGGGGAGGGGTTCAGAGTGCTGGTGGCCACGCAGAAGCCATCTGGTTTACGGGAGGCTTGAGCTGATTCAGATAGAGAGAAATGGGGCAGACGCAACGTTGCGGGCACTTGCCTTTATTGTGCAGCCTCGGCCTACTCCAGATTTGTTTGTTGTGAAGACGGTGTACAAAGCGTAGTTGGCAAGTAGTTTTGGCTCGGACTTCTACACCCATGCCAACGCGGTCCTTTAAATGTGTGGCGGCATCGCGGATGTCACTGGGTAATGCCGGCCCTAGCGAGGCACGGCGTGCGATGGATGGAGGTGTAGTACCAGCCCTAGAGGGGCTCGGTGAGCGCTGAGTTATGGCGCTGAGTGGCACCACGTGTGGCGTGCAATGCCGACCCCTACAGGATGGCGTGTGAGAGTGTCGGCCATGGAAATGGGTTACTACAGGCCCCATGGCACTCTGGTTGACCCTGGAAGGCACGTGACGAGTAAGATCGACACAGGGGGGGGGCCCCCAAGTGGGGGGGCTAGGGGTGGTCACGTGTCGGGCGAGATCCTGCTAGAGGGTTCGAGAAGGTGGTCGTGGCCAAGGGCGGAGCCAGCCACGGCCAGTGAGGATATAAGCCGGGTCCTCAGAAGGGACCTGGGTTCAGCGTTGCTGTTGTTATCCTGAAGTTCGACGTTCTACGTCCGAGAAGAAGTCACCAACACGTGGACCTGGACCCAAGCCGGGGTCCTGTCCATTGTGGTTACTCCCAGTGTAATTAGTGTAGTTAGCCTGGTGGTTACGTAGCTAGTTATGGTGTAATTAGTGTAGTTAGCCTGGTGGTTACTTAGCTAGTTACGGTGTAATTAGTGTAGTTAGCCTAGTGGTTACTTAGCTAGTTACGGTGTAATTAGTGTAGTTAGCCTGGTGGTTACTTAGCTAGTTACGGTGTAATTAGTGCAGTTAGCCTGGTGGTTACGTAGCTAGTTACGGTGTAATTAGTGTAGTTAGCCTGGTGGTTACGTGGCTAGTTACGGTGTAATTAGTGTAGTTAGCCTGGTGGTCCACCACCGTAGGTTGTTATCTGGTGAAGGGGCAGTTACCCCATTGTGTTGGTATCAATGAATGTGTTGCCTCCAAAGAGTACGTCTGCGGCTCAGTTGATTCCACTCAGTGTCATCGTGGTCGTCACCTGACATCCTTCGGGCATCTGGCTTGCCGTAACGCGCGTGCAGCTCCGTGCCTGTGCCCCAGGCACAACTAACGGGCGCCATTAATTTGCGCTCATGCTTATGAATGTGTGCACCTACCGCCGAGGTGTCGGGACTGAGCAGAATGTGTCTTTGTGCGGTGTCCGCGTGCGGTGTCCGCGTGCGGTGTCCGCGTGCGGCATCGCCCGGCAGCGCAACTTGACGGAGTTCACGGTGGCCGTGGACGTGCCCAGCACGCTGCAGCTGTACGCCAGCCTCCTCAACGAGCGGCGGATCATCGTCACCTCCTCCAAGATCAGCACGGTAACGCGCACTGCCGCCCCGCGGTACGCACGAGCGCGGTCTTAACGCTGCCCTGGAGCACCTCCGATCTGCACGGTTGGCTACGTACGTTGCGAAAGAAGTTCAACATACGTACGGAGCGGAATGAGAGGCCCATTGCCGCAGCGGTGTGGTGGCCAGCGCTTCGGAAGCGAAATCCAGAGGTCGCCGGTGCGACCGCATCCCATGGCGTGGCAATTGAAACAGCGGTGCAAGTGTCTCACATCCTCCCCTCTTCCCCCCCCCGCTCGCTCCCCCTGCCACCGCCTCCATTCACCCACCGCAGCAGTCGATCGGCAGGCTGTGTGTGGTGGGGTAAAGCGTGGGTACGCCCACTCATTGACCTTTGTGTTTAGTTGGTCGTCCTTCCCCCGCACCTCTGATTGGCACGGCTGGCGACGTACGGCGCAAAAGAAGTTCAACATCTTCCGACGCTTCTGGGCAGTGCAGAAGAGCCGAGCACAGTACCCCCTAAGAGTTTGCCGTAGCGGAAGCCTGTCCGCCAGCAGTGGCATGAGCGAGCGATTGTATGGGGCTGCGCCTCTACCGTTCTCGTTCTGCGACAGAGGAATGCGGCATGGGCTAGGCCAGAAGAGCCATTTGTTTTCGAATTTGGTTAAACAGCGATGCGCTGTGTGGTGAATGCGAGACGGTGAGTCCTGAATGAATGACGTCACGAAGCAGCGGTCCTTAAAGACCCGCAGGTTGCCGACCGCTGGGCTTGGCGTACGCTACTGGAGATGGCCCTTGCCTGAAACGCTGAAATAGGCCCATCGCCCGAAACGTTCACCTGGCTTTATTAGCTTATTATTTAATTCTCACGTCAATGGCGACGGTGTCGTCGTTCCCTGTGGCTCGTGCCTGTGCGCCGCTGCTCATGCAGGTGGATATTTACGTTAACGCTGCTTCGCGGGAAAGGCGTACAAATGAAGTACAGTCACACCTCGGTGTACGACCGCTTTGGAATACGTCGAATTTGGTGCACGTCGTGTTTTGACGAGAAAAAAAAATGTCTTGGGGTACGACGTCTTGCTTGGGGTACGACGCCTCGCTTGCTAGAACTTGTATGGGTCGGGATGAGTCACCGCGTACCCGCGTGGACCCCGTTCACGACTCCTCCCCTTCCTCACCACCATCCTCGTAGGCTGTCAACTCTTCTCAGCAAGGTAAAGTGATGTTAAATTTCCTTTTTATTTCAATTTATTTATGCATTTATTTTAATGTATGTATGCATTTTAGTAATAAGTAGTGTCTACATTATGTTATACAACCACATTAATGTATAACATGCCGTATAAAATATCATTTATTATACTCTGGAACGGATTATTTCCTTTCCCGTTATTTCTTATGGGAAAAATTCGTTTGGTAGACGTCACTTTCAGTACAAGTCCTCCTACCTTTTGGAACGAATTAACGACGTATACCGAGGTACCACTGCATATGATTCGAAACCTTACGGGCAAGTTCACAGCATGGCCACAGAGCACAGTGCTCTCTAATTAGGGCTCGTGAGCAAAAGGCATCTGGTCAAGCACCAATTGGGTCCAGGCTCAAAAGAAAGCCGTCCCTTGGTGTGGACCAATCAGTTTCAAGGACAATGTATACATAATCATAGTATGGTTTTTGTTTGCATTTTGACTGCAGGTATTGTGGTTAATGCAGACATGAACCCTTGTGAAAAGGTTTTAGTTTTGTTGCCCGAAAAAAGGGGAAAAACCCTATTATTGCATTTTGGTACTGGCAAAGGAGGTCTAATGATGATTTTAATATTGCTCGGCTGGTCCATGAAAGTTGATCACCACCGCTCTCAGGAGTTGGGCCAAATTTCGCAAACGTGGCCTTCCTCTTTGTGAGACTAGGGAGTCTAACGGCGACCTGGCGTCGATTGCCAAGGAACTCAGGGACTTGACCTGGGTTCCTGGCCAAGGCCGACATCAGTGGCAAAAATCCCTGAAGCAGTTCTGGGCCTCCTGTAGGTCGGCCCGGCCTGGTGCACCGTTTAAGCATTCAGGACTGTGTAGACAAACGGCGGCCGGACACTGTGAAGGCCACACCAACCCCTCTTGGGCCGTGCCCGCCTTGATCAGATTCTCACCCCCCCACCCCCCTGCCCCCCCCCCCTTCCCTTTCCTGCCCTTACCCTCCTCTAAAATCGCCACGCATCTGCACCATGGCAGCAGATGCGGATGCCTGACGCACGAATGTAAACTTAAAAACTCTCCAGCAGTGTGCGACTGTGGTCATCCAGAGCAGACCGTATAACGTATAACGACGCAGTGCCCCGATCCACAAACACCAAGGAGACGTCACAGCGATGGTACACTCCGCTGCTCCTGACGCGGTTGTCAGCTGGCTTGACCAGCTGAATTTTCAAATTGTAGTTGTTGCTCTGCATCGAACATCGGCAGCCATACGACAAGAAGCGACAACGTTCCTCAACGTTACCCCCTATGTGAGTAGGGAGCCATTGAGCTCAATCTGCCTTTCCTCCTCCCCCTACCTCGCGGGCACCTGGCCTTGGGCTTTTCGTCCGCGGAATAACTGTGCCCTCCTATCCCCGATCACTCTTGCTTCATCGTGGCTATTGATCAATAATTAAACGAAAAAAATTATAAGCTCACCAAACAGCACTTGCCCCAACAGTCTGTGTAGGCTACACGTGGGTGGGGGTGATGAACCTTTGTGTCTGTGTGCGAGGGGTGCAGCTGTCGTCATGCATCCACGCGCTGGCGTTGCTGCTCTACCCCATGAGCTGGCAGCACGTGTACATCCCCCTGCTGCCTCCGCACCTGCTCGAGTACTGCAGGCAAGCACCGGCGCCGCCATTGCCACCGTCGCCGTCCCCACCACCGTCGCCGCCCCCACCACCGTCACCGTCCCCACCACCGTCACCGCCCCCACCACCGCCACCGCCCCCACCACCGTCGCCGCCCGCCCGGCGCTCGTGGCCGCCATCCTCTGCCGCAGGAGGCCAAAAACCACGGCGCTGTCGCCGCCGATCGGTGGCGACGTAGCGAGTCGAGCGACGGGCGAAGGAGCCGTCGGAAAGTTACAACTTGACCCATGGGGGGGGGGGGGCAGCCTCTCGTTGGTTAAACATCTTTTGAGTGTCGCTCCAAATGACGCTTGGCGAGAGCGCGCCTTAACTTTGGCGAAAGCTTAGCCGCTGGAGCGTCAATGGGGAATGAACTACGGAAAATTTGGCACGGTCTTGCTGAAGAAGGCTGCAGTGATGGACTCGGGATAAATATGGGCTCAACAAAGGTCGCACGGGTTCACTCAACGATCACAGATGCCCATTGGAGGGTTACACCTGGAAAACTGCCGAATGTGCGAACCTAGGGCAGCTGTTAAATGCCGATCGTATGTGTGTTGAACCTCTTTGGCACCGTACGTAGCCAACCGCGCTGATTGGTGGTGCGTTGCAGGGGAAGGACAACAAAACTAAACACAAAAATCCGTTCTAAAGAGGTGAGCTTTCAATCTAGTTGATTTTAAAGTGCATAGCTTCAGTTTCTTCTTGAAATGGCAGTGGGTTGAGTGACGCTCACGTGCAGAGGGGGGGGGGGGGGGGGGGGGGGTGGGGGGGGGGGGTGCTTGCGTCACAGCGCCGTGCTCCTGGTCACGCCCCGGCTCGAACTCGAGCCACTCCGTTGCTCTCAAAGACGCATTGGTGGCTCAGCCGTGGCTCAGCCGTGGCTCAGCTCAGGCTGAGCTCAGGCTGAGCTCAGGCTGAGCTCAGAGCCGTGGAGGAGTGCAGCGTCGGGAGTGTGCGTCATGCCGCCTCAAGAGCGGGCGAGTCACACGGAGCGTTGTTGTCTTTTCCCTGTGTGCAGTGCTCCGATGCCCTTTCTCATCGGAGTGCATTCCTCTCTGATGGACGTATGTATACTTTACATCAACGTCTACCCACGGTCTGTGTGTGTGTGTGTTTGTGTGTGTCAGTCGGTCAGTCAACCCGTGGCACCCGAGTCTGTCCCGTACCGACCTGCCAGCGGGCGTTCGACACTTCACCTGCTGTCCTTAAAGCGCACCTAGCCTGGCACAAGCTGCCGTGGTGATGTCATCGCCACTTGGTGGCGAATTGCGGCAGTTGTTGTTGTTGTGTTAGTGGATGTGGGGAGCAGTAGTGTGTAGTAGTTAGCACACTGCTACGTACCCAGTGCCCCTGGTTCGATGCACGCTCACAGCCAAAATTAGTGATGAATATCTGAACCGGATTTGGACCTACCCTAGGTCGACTAGGCCTTAAATGTGTACCTGGTGTGGTGTGTAAACATCAGCACTGGCCATACCACCCCTTCGAGTCTCGTGCCGGTCTTCATAGGTGCTCGCTAACAGCAATTACCCCAAACAGTCTGTTCAAGCTACATACGGTGCGCTTGTATTCCCCTGTTCATTAAGTAAACCTTCGTAGAAAGAATGACTGCTTATTCAATGTGTGCTCCTTGGACACGTGAAGTATTATTTTAAATATCGATTCGCGATCGTGTGTACAAGCATTCGCTTAACCAGACTGCTTGTTTTCGCACGATTAGCACCTCCGATTTGCACGGTTGGCTACGTACGGTGCGAAAGAAGTTGAGCGTGCACGCGTGCAATGGAGCAACGGCCGCGTGATGCCGCCGGTGTCGCGCTGCACTCGAGGCTGATTGAGAACGAAAGCGCATCTCTTGTCCAGCTGAGCCTTACTTACAACTCACTATGGTTTTTAATCGGGGGTAACGAACGGCACCCACCTCGACTCATTTTGCACGCCCGGCACACAGCTGACCGCGCTACAAGCACAGCGACAAGCAGCCGCGGTGGCAGCGAGAAATGGACGGGGCGAGGAGGTGGGACGGGGGGGGGGGGGGGAGACAATCTGTGCCGCCACCAAGGAATGTGTAGAAGGAAAGTTGAAAATCTGCGCGCCCACGCCTCGCTTGTGCTCGGAGTGTCGGCGACAGACGCAGGTGCGCTTGCGATTGGGACACGCCGACGTTTCTCTTGCCGTACTCGGGCTGTCCCCAGTTCGTCACCTTGCCGCTCACTGTCTTGAACTCTTTCCGGCGAAGCCTCAGGTTCCTGCATCCAACCTCGTGCGTATTGATCAATTGGGTTTCCGTAACCGATGTCGGGACTTGCGTTGGGTTTTTTTCCGGTTTGGCCGCGCAATGATGCGATCTGGCCGGTGTCATTCAAAAGCCTCCGCGATTGCGCAACGGACGCGGCAAATGTGAATGTTTCAGCTCGCACGGTGACTTTAGGAACAATCCTCGCCACCAATCAGATGCGACGACGTTTCATTTGAAACTACGTCAAAAAACAATGAGGGGCAGGATCAATCAAGTCGGATGAACAACCCAGCAACGGGAGAGTCACTCTGTCACCTGACCTGGCCTTCTTCAATAGATGCCACGTGGTTATTGGGGAGTAGCTATTGAATCGTAAGAAATCGTATCTCTCAAATTGTTTTGCATTGTGCTATCGAGTCTCTACACAGATACTTACTTACTTTTAGAATATGTTAAGACGTTTTGCAATGTTTGGTGCAACGGCAGCAGACAACCAAATATTAATTAATTTGAAAAAGTCAGGGACACTCGCGTTCCAACAATGCATAACGTCGATGTTATCTCCCTCGCCTGGTACGCAGGAGGTTAATGGGTTCAACCACGGACCCTTGACCTGCGTATTTGGAGTTTGCGAGTTCTTTCTCTCGACGGTCGTGTGGATTTTTCCCCAGTTTATCCATTTTTTTTTCCTTCCAAATTTTTCGAAAGGTACATTCAGATCATTTGGCTGCGACCATAAATTCCCACGTGATGATATAAGCCACTGCGATGAGCTTGCGTGTGTAGGCAGGTCACCTCTGAAAAAGAGGCAATAGCTAAATGGGCTTTACCTGGTAAATAAAGCGAATTACTACATCAAGGGAGCGGCTAGGGGCTTTACAGGGATGTGTACTTCACATCGTGTGTGCAGGATGTGCATGTGGGAGAGTGGCAGTGTAGTGGTTAGCTCACTGCGCAATGAGCCCGGTGACCCGTGTTTGAGCCGATATCAGTGGAGAATATCTAAACTAGTCCTGGGCCTCCTCTAGGTCGACTCAGCCTTAAATTAGTACCCAGTGCGGTGTGCAATATCATCACTGGGGAAACACAGGCAGAAGGGCATGGTGCGAGCCAAACCACCCCCGTGTGCTCGCTAACCACGGTTAACCCAACATTCTGAAACGAGCCACGCATGCTGAAAGGCTGCGCGTGGGGATCTTTGTCTTTATCTCCATGTTGTCTTTGTTGCGTAGCGTGTGCGGACCATGCCGCTGGACGATGCCATCGTGTTCACCATCGACACCAACACCATGGAGACGCCGTTCAACGACTTGCAGGGCCTGCCCAGCGACGTGGTGGGTCCAACACGCGCACGCACAATGCGCGCACAATGCGCGCACGCTCGCACAGTCACCAAATGCTAAGTAAATCGACTTGATCGACCGAGCCCAGTTAGCAGAGATTTATGCGTAGGTAATGCCTGACGTGTGTCCATAAGCTCATCAATGTATGCACGTACGTAGCCAACCGTGCTAATCATAGGTGCAGGGGAAGGACAACAAGCTAAACACAAAAAGCAGTTTTAAGGAAATTAGTTTATAGCTCCAGTGGCTTCCAAATATTGGAAGGGAGAGCGTTCCAGACGGCCGCTCTTACTCCTTCAAACGAGTGAGGTCCCTCGCCAATTAAACGTGCACAATGCCACGGAGACGCTGTCGGGTGTGCTCATCATAATAAAGTATTAAAGCTTTCGTGACTGCATAAAATTACTCATTAGTTTTTTCAGTAAAGTCACGTATGTAGAAATACAATAAAATTATATTTAAACAAAAAACAATCACGACGTTTCGATCGCTTGCGTTGTGATCGAAACGTCGTGATTGTTTTTTGTTTGAATATAATTTTATTGTATTTCTACATACGTGACTTTACCGAAAAAAACAATGTGCTCGTCATACTTAATGGAGCTGCTCATTCAGCGTACAATTAAACGCAAGATTATTGGGGTGGGCGTTTCACTACCACAACCCCTCCTTAACCACCCCCAGCTGTCCTCCTTACTGTCACCATAACTACAGCAACACGTAGAAGGGAAACAATAAAATGATAAAAAATATAAAACAATAAAATTATCACGACGTTTCGACTGCAACACAAGCAATCATCATCAGGTGTGAAAACCACTGTCATCTAATATACAATCTAATATACAATTGTATAACTATATAAGACAAGATGAGATCTGCATGTCCCATGGTGTGAAACGCACTTTGTCAACTTAGGTTCCTTTTCACTATTCAAGTCCCATTTAAAAACCCTTTAGTTTACCGTGGCCTTTAATCGACTTGACCTTGGTTTGGTTATGCTGTACGTCTTGCAAGTGGCAATTTTTTTTAGTTTTTGCTGTTGCGTTGTACAGCGTCGTGAGATGCAGTTTTGCATATAAATGACACTATGAAAATGTATTATTATAATCATACATATGCTCTGGAATCGGAGGAAGACTGCTTCCTAAAGCAAACGTGTCTGGTCTTTTGAGAGATGCGCACTCCGGCGCCGAATGATCTAAACGCGCTTTGAAACGTTTGTCGCCAGCGACGTCCTTCCCCCCCCCCCCCTTGTACCTCTGATTAGCATGATTGGCTGCTACGTATAGTGCGACAGAAGTTCAACATACATAAAACTAAATTATTTTCATTTTTCCCACTGAGCTATGTCGTTTTTTTTTCAGATGCGACTTGGCTATCACAAATGAGAGCTCAACGAAAGTGGGCTCACCATCACGTGGACATTTATAGCAGCCAAATACTCCAAACGCATGTATGATTCTAAATGTGGAGGGATAAACCATAAAAATCCATGCAACCACTTGGCAGAGAGACACCGCGAACTTCAAATATATAGGCGTCGGGGTCGGGATCGAACCCACGACATCTCGCCACCGTGGCACCTTATACGTCACAGCAGCACGGCTCGGCTTACGCAGTGGAAAAACAGCACGGTTCCCTCCAAAGCTGCGCCGTGCCGGCTCCGCACGGCCCCGGTGCGGCTCGATGGTTGCGCGGTGGGGGAAAAAAAAAAGAGGCATTTGGTGTTTTTCGCCGCTTGTGTCCGGCTGCAGGTGGCCGCGCTTCGCTCCCGCCTGAAGCGCCCGGCGACCGTGGGAGACGGCGTGGCACGCGCCTTCCTCAAGTCGCAGGCGGCGCTGTACGGGAGCTACCGCGAGGCGCTGCGCTTCCAGCCCGTGCGTTGCGCCGCGTCTTCGCGTGCCTTTGCGTGCCTCTGGGTCTCCGCGCGTGTCCCCGCGTGTCTCCGCGCGTGTCCCCGCGTGTCTCCGCTCGTCGGCCTGAAAAGAGTTGCTCGCAGGGTGGCCCTTGACGCAACGGTCCGCGAAGAGTCCACCACACGGGGAACCTTTGCCTTTGTTGTGTCCGCCTGCAGGGGGAGCCGATCACCTTCAGCGAGGACGCGTTCGCGTGCCACCGCTCGACGAGCATGCGAACGTTCCTCACCAACGCCACACACATGCAGATCTTCAAACAGGTGATGCACACACACACACGACACGCACACACATACAGATCTTCAAACAGGTGACACACACACACACGACACGCACACACATACAGATCTTCAAACAGGTGACACACACACACACGACACGCACACACATACAGATCTTCAAACAGGTGACACACACACACACAGGACACGCACACACATACAGATCTTCAAACAGGTGACACACACACACACACACAGGACACGCACACACATACAGATCTTCAAACAGGTGACACACACACACACACGACACGCACACACATGCAGATCTTCAAACAGGTGACCCACACACACGACACGCACGCACACATACAGATCTTCAAACAGGTGACACACACACACACGACACGCACACACATGCAGATCTTCAAACAGGTGACACGCACACACACACACACCGACACAGGACACGCACACACATACAGATCTTCAAACAGGTGACCCACACACACACGACACGCACACACATACAGATCTTCAAACAGGTGACCCACACACACACGACACGCACACACATACAGATCTTCAAACAGGTGACACACACACAGGACACGCACACACATGCAGATCTTCAAACAGGTGACCCACACACACACGACACGCACACACATACAGATCTTCAAACAGGTGACGCACACACACACACACAGGACACGCACACACATACAGATCTTCAAACAGGTGACGCACACACACACACAGGACACGCACACACATACAGATCTTCAAACAGGTGACGCACACACACACACAGGACACGCACACACATACAGATCTTCAAACAGGTGATGCACACACACACACGACACGCACACACATACAGATCTTCAAACAGGTGACACACACACACGACACGCACACACATGCAGATATTCAAACAGGTGATGCACACTCCCTGTTTCTTGGTAATTTCCTGCCCCGAGTGGAGTATTGTCCCTCGCCTCATGGTGACTGGAACTAGAACCAGTCCACCGGAATCTCGAGGATTCCACCGAGGTCCAGGCAGTATTGGTCGATCTCCCGACAGTCGCTCCTCTGCAGCGAGTGGTTCGAAAATTACACCGGGCCAACCGCAGTGGGGTTATTTATAATGCTGTTTCTGGCTCCTCCAAATGGGGTTTGGCCAGGAGACGTCAGAGGATCCCGTACCCCCAGGGGCTCCGGCACAAACTTCGTTTGCCGTTTTGTCCTTGGTTATTTCATAATGTAGTTAAAGTTGAGTGTAACCACACACTAAAAAGACAATGATCCTCGTATCGCCATTACAGACAGGTAGGGAAAGTGCTGTTAGCGAACTTATGAAGGCCAGAACGGCACAAGAAGGGGTGGTTGGCCAGCACTACGTCCGGCCGCCTTTGTCTCCCCAGTGGCGATGTTTACACACCGCACCAGGTACTCGTTTTAAGCGGATTCGACTTAGGGGAGGCCCAGGACCGGTTCAGATAAAGGTCACTGGTGTCGACCGTGAACGGTAATCGAAACCAGGTCGCCGGGTTCATAGCGCAGCGCGCTAGCCACTGCATTTCCTATGTATGTTGAAGTTCGTAGCCAACCGTGCTAATCGGAGGTGCACACTGCTCCCCCGACACACGAATACAAGCAGATGTACAAATATAGGCATGAAACAACGCAGCCACATGCGTTCATGCACATACACACGCAGGTACATGAATTAGCCTACAACCGCATGCACAGAGATATATATACGCAATTTCTCTCTTGAACGCTCGGCACCAATTACATCACGACATTCAAGCAGGTGATGCACGCGCGCAACGCACAATGTGGTTGTTGTGCGCGCGGCGGCGGCGGCGGGGCTATATTGCAGTGCGATGCCGTGTGATCCTGTGCGATGCCGTGTGATCCTGTGTGATGCCGTGTGATCCTGTGTGATGCCGTGATGCTGTGTGATGCCGTGTGATCCTGTGTGATGCCGTGTGATCCTGCGTGATACCGTGTGATGCCGTGTGATCCTGTGTGATGCCGTGTGATCCTGTGTGATCCTGCGCGATGCCGTGTGATCCTGTGCGATGCCGTGTGATGCCGTGTGATGCCGTGTGATGCCGTGTGATCCTGTGTGATCCCGTGTGATCCTGTACGATGCCGTGTGATCCTGTGTGATGCCGTGTGATGCTGTGTGATGCCGTGTGATCCTGTGTGATGCCGTGTGATCCTGTGTGATGCCGTGTGATCCTGTGTGATGCCGTGTGATCCTGTGTGATGCCGTGTGATCCTGTGCGATGCCGTGTGATCCTGCGCGATGCCGTGTGATGCCGTGTGATGCCGTGTGATGCCGTGTGATGCCGTGTGATCCTGTGTGATGCTGTGCGATGCCATGTGATCCTGTGTGATGCTGTGTGATGCCGTGTGATCCAGTGTGATGCCGTGTGATGTCATGTGATCCTGTGTGATGCTGTGCGATGCCGTGTGATCCTGTGTGATGCCGTGTGATCCTGTGCGATGCCGTGTGATGCCATGTGATCCTGTGTGATGCTGTGCGATGCCGTGTGATCCTGTGTGATGCCGTGTGATGCCATGTGATCCTGTGTGATGCTGTGTGATGCCGTGTGATCCTGTGTGATCCTGTGTGATGCTGTGTGATGCCGTGTGATCCTGTGCGATGCCGTGTGATGCCGTGTGATGGCGTGTGATGCCGTGTGATCCCGTGTGATCCTGCACGATGCCGTGTGATCCTGTGTGATGCCGTGTGATCCTGCACGATGCCGTGTGATCCTGCACGATGCCGTGTGATCCTGTGCGATGCCGTGCGATGCCGTGTGATCCTGTGTGATGCTGTGCGATGCCGTGTGATCCTGTGTGATGTTGTGTGATGCCGTGTGATCCTGCGTGATGCCGTGTGATTCTGTGTGATGCCATGTGATTCTGTGTGATGCTGTGTGATGCTGTGTGATGCCGTGTGATCCTGTGTGATGCTGTGTGATGCCGTGTGATCCTGGGCGATGCCGTGTGATCCTGTGTGATGCTGTGTGATGCCGTGTGATCCTGCGCGATGCCGTGATGCTGTGCGGCGCTGTGCGATGAGCGCAGTTCATAGAGGAGCGTCTGGAGCGGCTGAATGCGGGCTCGGGGTTTAACGACGTGTTTGAGGAGGAGATCAACCGCAGTGAAACCGAAGGAGGTCAGCAACACGCACGCAACCACAAGCGCCGTTCGCCGCAAACACAACCAAAAACAAGTCCACTTGGGTTGCATGCACACGTGCGTGCGTGCGTGCGCGTGCACGCGATGTCCACGCACGTGTGTTCACTTTCTAGAATTCGATATTCTGTTTTACAGGAGCAACAAAGTCCTACAATCAGTGGCTCACAACAGTGAAGGTGAGCGCGTTGGTTCACATCACGAGAGCATTCATGCCGAGTGCATCGTGGCTGCCAGTGGGCGCGTGGGACAGACACGTTGATATCGATTGGATTAACGATTAAAGGAGAGAGCGTTCCTCACTGCTGCCTGTGAATTGTAAACATCCTCGTCCTCTTGTGTTATCTGGGCATCTCAGGCAGTTGATCATCAGGGACGCCGTGGTGGCTAGGAGATGTTAACTACCTCGCCTGGTATGCAGAAGGTTGTGGGTTTGATCCCAACCCTTTGACGCCTGCTGCTGTATATTTGGAGTTTGCGTTTGTCTCTCTGTCCGTGGTCATGTGGATTTTTCCCCGGGTCCTCCGGTTTTTTAGAAACGGCGTAACGTCGGTGGTGTACGTGCAGTCTTTGTCTATCTCGTTCAATTATAGTTGAAGTTTCTATTTAAATTGTTACACGGATGGTCCCGTTTCGCCTGTCTCCCGACTATTTTACGTAGGAAGATCCGTGGCGTGTGGGCGCTGGGGTGGCTAGGAGATGTTAACTACCTCGCCTGGTATGCAGGAGGTGGTTGACGCCTGCTGCTGTATATTTGGAATCTGCGTCCCTCTCCCCGTGGTCGCGTGGATTTCTATCCGGGTCTTCTAGTTTTTCCCTCCACATTTAGCATCACGACGCGTTCAGAGTCTTTGGTTGCTATAAATTTAAACTCGGTTGCGCTAGGGGCCATCCATAAATGACATCACACACATAGGGGGGGCGGGGTCAGACATTTGTGACGATGTGTGACGAGGTGGGGAAGGGGGGGGGGTGAGAAATGTGACGTCACATCAAAATGCGCAACTTTAAATAAATATAGACAACACGTTCTACTGAATTAAATAGACGTTTTAATAAATGTTTTCTCTTACTACATCAGAGTGCAGCACCACATTAAATACGCACTACAATGACAATAGTTTAAAGCAATTTGAAGCATGTTTTATATTTTTGGGGGGGGGGGGGAGGGGGCAGAGCGTTGTGACGTCATATTTTTAAGGGTGGGGGTCTGACTTTTTGTGACGCCGATATTGCAAGGCATTAAGTCTGCATTAACCACGCGTTGTAAAACATGCAAACAAGCATGCTCCCATAAATATATGGGCATTGTCTTTGACATTGATTGGCCTACACCAGAGACAGCCTTCTTTGTGGCCTAGCCTCACCAGTATTAGGCCAGAGAACAGAAAAAGGCGAACGGCACAAAGGCAGTGCAACCATCACAGCATTAATAGCCCCGGCTTCAGCAGTTGCATCTACGGCACCATTCTTTTTCCGGTACCAAAGTGTTGAAGAAAAAAATAATAGGCTTTACCCTCTTTGGAAATAGCACATGTGTGTCGAGATGCTCAAACACCCAACAAGACACCTATTTGTAAGGCATCAAGTCTGCATTAACAACGCGTGCTCTGTGGTAGAAACACGCTGGCAAACCTGCTTGGACAACGTATGCGTTGTCTGATTGGTCTAAGATCGGCGAGACAAGGCCGTAAAGGAGGCCGTCTGGCACAGGCCTGGGTGGGCAGCCGTGCCTGGCTCGCAAACTCGGCAGATGAGTAAATAATCACGTGCCTGCTGCACGCGCCCCGATTGTCTGTTGCAGAAAGGAGGCGGGGCCATCTTCCAGACGGTGAAGTCCAAGGCCAATCCCGCCGTGAAGTCCGTGTACAAGTTTGTGAGCGGACGCACTCGGACGCATGCAGACAACCAGACGCACGCAGACAACCAGACACACGCACACAACCATTCGCGAGCACCCCCCCCCCCCCCCCCGCGTCTCCGCGGCACCGCTTGCCCCGTTCACCGCAGCCGCTGCTGTTTTCCTGCGAGGACTCGGCAAGCGATCGGCCTTGACTCTCTGTTAAAGATTACACGAGGCGGGGGGCGGGGGGCCGGGGGCGGGGGGGGATCGTTGCCGACTCGTGTGTACGCGTGCGCGCGTTGATGTGCGTTGATGTGCGCGTGCGTGAGCAGGCGAGGGAGCAAGCGAAACTCGCGAAAGACCAGGCACGCATGGGGATCCAGGAGGTGAAGAGCCGCCTCAAGCAGAAGGTACGGCCCCGACACGCACAACAAGAATTACACACGCACAACTACACACGCACAACTACACACGCACAACTACACACGCACAACTACACACGCGTACCAACAACCACACGCACAACAACTACTCACAACTAACAACAGCTAAACAACCACACGCACAACAACTACTCACAAATAACAACAGCTAAACAACCACACGCACAACAACTACTCACAAATAACAACAGCTAAACAACCACACGCACAACAACTACTGACAAATAACAACAGCTAAACAACCACACGCACAACAACTACTCACAAATAACAACAGCTAAACAACCACACGCACAACAACTACTCACAAATAACAACACCTAAACAACCACACGCACAACAACTACTCACAAATAACAACAGCTAAACAACCACACGCACAACAACTACTCACAAATAACAACAGCTAAACAACCACACGCACAACAACTACTCACAAATAACAACAGCTAAACAACCACACGCACAACAACTACTCACAAATAACAACACCTAAACAACCACAACGCACAACAACTACTCACAAATAACAACACCTAAACAACCACACGCACAACAACTACTCACAAATAACAACAGCTAAACAACCACACGCACAACAACTACTCACAAATAACAACACCTAAACAACCACACGCACAACAACTATTCACAAATAACAACAGCTAAACAACCACACGCACAACAACTACTCACAAATAACAACACCTAAACAACCACACGCACAACAACTACTCATAAATAACAACAGCTAAACAACCACACGCACAACAACTACTCACAAATAACAACAGCTAAACAACCACACGCACAACAACTACTCACAACTAACAACAGCTAAACAACCACACGCACAACAACTACTCACAAATAACAACACCTAAACAACCACACGCACAACAACTACTCACAAATAACAACAGCTAAACAAACCACACGCACAACAACTACTCACAAATAACAACAGCTAAACAACAACTACTCACAACTAACAACAGCTAAACAACCACACGCACAACAACTACTCACAACTAACAACAGCTAAACAACCACACGCACAACAACTACTCACAAATAACAATACCTAAACAACCACACGCACAACAACTACTCACAAATAACAACAGCTAAACAACCACACGCACAACAACTACTCACAAATAACAACAGCTAAACAACCACACGCACAACAACTACTCACAAATAACAACAGCTAAACAACCACAGGCACAACAACTACTCACAAATAACAACACCTAAACAACCACATGCACAACAACTACTCACAAAGAACAACAGCTAAACAACCACACGCACAACAACTACTCACAAATAACAACACCTAAACAACCACACGCACAACAACTACTCACAAATAACAACAGCTAAACAATCACACGCACAACAACTACTCACAAATAGCAACAGCTAAACAACCACACGCACAACAACTACTCACAAATAACAACAGCTAAACAACCACACGCACAACAACTACTCACAAATAACAACAGCTAAACAACCACAGGCACAACAACTACTCACAAATAACAACACCTAAACAACCACATGCACAACAACTACTCACAAATAACAACAGCTAAACAACCACACGCACAACAACTACTCACAAATAACAACACCTAAACAACCACACGCACAACAACTACTCACAAATAACAACAGCTAAACAACCACAGGCACAACAACTACTCACAAATAACAACACCTAAACAACCACACGCACAACAACTACTCACAAATAACAACAGCTAAACAACCACAGGCACAACAACTACTCACAAATAACAACAGCTAAACAACCACACGCACAACAACTACTCACAAATAACAACACCTAAACAACCACACGCACAACAACTACTCACAAATAACAACAGCTAAACAATCACACGCACAACAACTACTCACAAATAACAACAGCTAAACAACCACACGCACAACAACTACTCACAAATAACAACAGCTAAACAACCACACGCACAACAACTACTCACAAATAACAACAGCTAAACAACCACAGGCACAACAACTACTCACAAATAACAACACCTAAACAACCACATGCACAACAACTACTCACAAATAACAACAGCTAAACAACCACACGCACAACAACTACTCACAAATAACAACACCTAAACAACCACACGCACAACAACTACTCACAAATAACAACAGCTAAACAACCACAGGCACAACAACTACTCACAAATAACAACACCTAAACAACCACACGCACAACAACTACTCACAAATAACAACACCTAAACAACCACACGCACAACAACTACTCACAAATAACAACAGCTAAACAACCACACGCACAACAACTACTCACAAATAACAACACCTAAACAACCACACGCACAACAACTACTCACAAATAACAACACCTAAACAACCACACGCACAACAACTACTCACAAATAACAACACCTAAACAACCACACGCACAACAACTACTCACAAATAACAACACCTAAACACAACCACGTGCAGCGACACCGCTGGCCCGAAGGCCAATCCGCTGCCACGGCTGCCCCCCCCCGCCACCGCACTCCCCCTGGTCGGTCGTTCACTCTGCCCCTGCGGGGTGGGGGTGCCCACAGGAGGGATCCTCCGTGGACGACTTCTCCCCGCAAGAGGGCCCCGCGACGTTCAGCCGCCTGGGAGAGCCGTGGGCCTCGCCGGACCACGACCCCTCGCCCACCGGGGCCGCCGCCGGGGCGCCGCCGGGCTCCAACGGGGACGTCGCTGACCCGAAGCGCACGTCGCTGCCCAGCCCGGACGTGTACGCACGCTCGGTCGTCGGGAGTCGCGCCCAGCGACGGTTCCCCTCGCGCTCGGGGGGCGCCGGGGAAGGGGGGGGGGGGGGCGAGGATGGGGATAGAAGTCGCGCAGACGAGAGGCAGGAAGGGGGGGGGACCGTGAGGCGGCGCTACCAAACGATCTAGCCCCGAACTCTGCGGTCCCGTCGACGAGCGATCGTTATCTGTGGGAGGAAACCGGGGCGCCCGTGGGCAGGAAACGCTCCGCATCCGCGCGCAGATGGGGACTCGTCCGCTTGCCGCACTGCCGCCGCCGCCAATTCCTGGCGAGCCCAGGGTGTGAAGGACCCCGGTGGGTTGCGCCGCAGAGCCCTCTTCCTGCCCCCGCCCCTGTGTCCACCTCGCAGCCTGTAGCACCGATAATGCATAGCGGTTGTCGGCCGCCACCGAGGAAAATCCAGGCTCGTCTTCTGCCCGGCTCGCAAAGAAATCCGACAAGGCCACGGAAAGGGGGCGATGTGATGCCCCTCGACTTTCTCTAAGTGGAGCACCGCTCGTCGTGTCGAATTGATCTGGGCAGCAGCAGCAGCTGCGTGTGGCCCCACGGCCGCCGTGAACCTTGACCTGGGGCCCCGCTCGCCAGGGATGTCGGCGCGTCCGCCGCGTTTGAAGCGCCGTCCTGAAAAGCAAAGCGGTCGGCACGTGCTGCTAAATTAACAGCGGTGATTGCGCACGGGGCAATTTGCGTAATGTTGGGGGGCGGGGGGGGGGGGGTTTACCCAGTACCTGCCCATTTTTTTTTTTTTTTACCGGGGCTCGTTCCTGGAACGCATTGCTTGGCTTTACCTGCATCCCCAACGCTCCCGTATTCATTATGGAGAATATGGCACGTGAGTGAGCGCTTTTACTTTTGTAAGGTTGAAGGTTATAAATATCGCTTCCGCCACATTCAAATCTGTTGCTATCCTTCCTCTGTCCTGATGTCCTAAAAAAAACTGGAATCCCTTCGCTCAGCACTCACGCAAATGCAAACGCATGCATTTCCAAACGCCGCCTCTAAATGTTCCGTTCCTTCTGGGCTCTTTTGCTGCTTCCTATCGTCTGGCTCCCTCCCTTTCTCTCTCTCTCTCTCTCCCATCCCTCCTGCCCTGTCTCTCTAGCCCTTATTTTCTGGAGGATTCCGGCTCTGACCCCGAGGATTCCGCTCCTGGTTTTCCGGACACTCGGCTACTGGGCTGTCACCTACGCTGGTGTGTCTGCATGTACGTGATGCGCGCGTACGGAGAGAGGGAGTGATCGAGAGAGAGAGACAGCGTGTCGCGTGTACGGGCACGATTGACGGAACACAGAAAATTTGTGGGCGGTAGTGATTCGTGTGGGCAGGGCGTAGAAGAGTGCCACTGTGGGGGAGATATTATCTCCCTCGCCTGGAATGCAGGAGGTTGTGGGTTTGATCCCTACCCTGACACCTGCATATTTCGACTTTGCATGTCCTCCACGTGGTCGTGTGGATTTTTCTCTGGGCCCTCGGCTTTTTCCCTCCAGATTTAGAAGCACGTGTTGGCTGCGGTACATTTCCACGCGATGACAAGCCGCTTGGTTTGTGGCCAGGTCGCTTCTGATAAAGAGCCCTATGTGGGCCTCACCTGGCAAAATAAAAATACAGAATCGAGAGAAGGGTAGAAGAAAAAGGCCCTTTGTGGATTGTTGTGGGCCGTGTTCATCCATCACTCGGTTTTAGCGCCGGAGCAAACCCAGGACACGGCAACACGGAGCAACCCGTGACGTCTCTTCACCACCCTCTTCACTGCCACTGGGCGGCACACATGCCCTGCTGATGCTCTCCAGCTGTTTGCATTCTGAACGGACACGTTTAGTCCTCAAGAGCTGGCATACGTCGAGTGGCAACCCAAATATAATTACAGTAAGAGCTAATATTAGTGACCGGAGCAAGACCTGCAAAGCCAGTTTAATAACAGCTCGGGCTATTGTCAGTCGGTGTGTAGGTCCCTGTGAGGGTATGGCTCTCGGTGTAAGTCTGTGGGCCGATGCAAGTGGTCGGTGGCCCGGGCTGAGACCGCTGCTCGCGTCACTTGACACCGCGTCCTCGTCACCAGCGGCTGGACTCGTACCCCGCGTTGTGCGCGACCGGCTGGAGATGCCGGCGGTTGTGAGAAATGCGCCCGGCTTGGAAATTCCACGAAGGGCGCAGTGGTGGGCCGTCCGGTCACGCTGGGGAGCCACGGTGGCGAGGAGATGTTAACTGCCTCGCCTTGTATACAGGAGGTTGCTTCTGTGATTTGAAACAGTGAAACTATAAACAATTGTGAAACTAAACAATTTTTTTTTTTTTTACCAGGTAAGGCCCACTGAGCTACGTAGCTCTTTTTCAGAAGCGACCTGGCCACAAATGATAGCTCAACGAAGTGGCTTACATCACGTGGAGATTTATAGCAGCATCCAAATGCACTCAAAGTGGAAGGAAAAACCTGAGGGCCTGGATAAAAATCCACACGACCACGGGGAGAACATGCAAACTCCAAATATACAGCAGGCATCATGGTCGTGATCGAAACCACGACCTCCTGTATACCAGGCGAGGTAGTTAACATCTCGGCACCGTGGTGCCCGGGTGGAAAATATTCCCTTTAGTACCCGATCAGTGCTGCTGAAACGCTTGCAATGAGGGATGTTTGCGGCCTGCTCCGGATTCCCATGCCGCCCGTGGGCCATGTGAAATTCATTTTGGGGCCGTGTCTGCCGCTGCTGCAAGCCTGCGAGGGCTTGGAGCCGCTCCGTGCTGGATGCGCTCCGTACTGGATCCGCTCCGTGCTGGATCCGCTCCGTGCTGGATCCGCTCCGTGCTGGATGCGCTCCGTGCTGGATGCGCTCCGTGCTGGATCTGCTCCGTGCTGGATCTGCTCCGAGTGGCCCTCCCCGAGGGGCTAGGTCACGGCTAAGGCGCATCGGCGCGGACACTCGAGTCCACCGCAGCCAATCGGTGACGGGGCGTGCCGAGCGTGTCACGGCAGGGAGAGAGTCGGCCGTCGGGGGTCTTGCCGTGTGTCCGCATAGTCGACTCCGTGACATTGCCGTATGAGATGGAGGCGTGGGGCGGTGTTCACCTTGGGTCATGTTCACCTGGGGTAATGTTCACCGTGGGCAGTATTGACCTGGGGCAGTGTTCACCTGGGGTAATGTTCACCTGGGGCAGTGTTCACCCTGGGCAGTGTTCACCTGGGGCAGTGTTCACCTGGGGCAGTGTTCACCCTGGGCAGTGTTCACCTGGGGCAGTGTTCACCTGGGGCAGTGTTCACCTGGGGCAGTGTTTACTTGGGGCAGTGTTCACCTGGGACAGTGTTCACCTGGGGCAGTGTTCACCCTGGGCAGTGTCCACCTGGGGCAGTGTTCACCTGGGGCAGTGTTCACCGTGGGCAGTGTTCACCTGGGGCAGTGTTCACTTGGGACAGTGTTCACCTGGAACAGTGTTCACCTGGGGCAGTGTCCACCTGGGGCAGTCTTCACCATGGACAGTGTTCACCTTGGGCAGTGTTCACCTGGAACAGTGTTCACCTGGGACAGTGTTCACCGTGGGCAGTGTTCACCTGGGGCATTGTCCACCTGGGGCATTGTCCACCTGGGGCAGTGTTCACCTTGGACAGTGTTCACCTTGGACAGTGTTCACCTTGGACAGTGTTCACCTGGGGCAGTGTTCACCTGGGGCAGTGTTCACCTGGGGTAATGTTCACCTGGGACAGTGTTCACCTGGAACAGTGTTCACCCTGGGCAGTGTTCACCCTGGGCAGTGTTCACCTGGGGCAGCATCCACCTGGGGCAGTGTTCACCGTGGGCAGTGTTCACCTGGGGCAGTGTTCACCTGGGGCAGTGTTCACCTGGAACAGTGTCCACCCGGGACAGTGTTCACCTGGGACAGTGTTCACCTGGGGCATTGTCTACCTGGGGCAGTGTTCACCTGGGACAGTGTTCACCTGGGACAGTGTTCACCTGGGGCAGTGTTCACCTGGGGCAGTGTTCACTTGGGGCCAGTGTTCACGTGGGTTGATGTCAATGCTGTGGCGGATGTTGAGAGTGACCGGGGATTGCTGCGTGGCCGTTCCCAGGTCGCAGCCCTACCGTTCGCTGGATAATCGTCATCCCAACCGTGCGGAGCGATCCGATTGGCCGGCGGAGGCCGTGCGGCATCAGCTCGCGGCGAAGTCATTGGACGACCTGCGAGGAGACCGACTCATGAGCAGGGTGACTCACGCACGCACACACACACACAAAAAGACAAAGATCCCCCGTATAGCCTTAACAGGCTGTTGGGGCAAGTGCTGTTTGCGAGTAGCACCTATGTAGGCCGAGAAGGCACACGAGGTGGTCGGTGGCCAGCACCGCGCCCAGCCGCCTTTGTCTCTCCAGTGGAAATGTTTACACACTGCATTTGGTACTCATTTGAGGCTGAGTCGACCTAAGGGCATCCCAGTACCGGTTCAGATATTCGTCACTGGTGTCGACTGTGAGTGGGAATCAAACCCGGGTTGCCGGGTTCGTAGCGGCAGCACGCTAACCGCAACCCCGCCACTCCCCACACACAACAACAACAGCAGCCGCCATTCGCCACTAAGTGGCGGTGACGTCACCACGACGCTTGTGCCAGGCTATGTGCACGTTGAGGCCACGTGAAGTGTCGAATGCCCGCTGGCAGGAGGTCACGGGGCAGACCCAGGTGCCACTGGTCGACTGACTGAGATGACTGAGATTACTGGCTGATGCACCACCTGTGCCCCCTACTGTGCCAACCTGCTGTGCTTTAGCCACCCGGCGCTCCGCTCGTTGTTTTGAGCGTCGCTCCTCCGCCCTCCGTTGTTGTTGGAAGGCGACTGCCTCCAACTGCCCAGTAGCGTCCTTCACGAGCCTCCTCCACAAAGGCCGATCTTGACACCGCTGGTACCAGTCATCGGCAAATCCACTCAGCTCCACATCCTCCTGTACCACGTCGCTCCATCTCTTCTCTAGCCCCCTCGATCTGGCCAAACAAAAGCTGTTTAGGCATGCGGTGATTGGGCATGCAGGCTACATGACCCAGCCGACGCAGCCTTGCCTGCCGGAGTAGCTCACCGATGGGACTTTGTCCAGATCTTTCAATGATTTGTGAGCTCCTCAAACAATCCAGCCTTGTTAAACCCAGGACGGATCGTCGGCAGGCCAGCCTAAATGTTTCTAACCAGCAAAGATGTTCCATTAAGGGGGGGGTCCATTTTTTGCAAGCGTAGAGAAGGGAGGGAATGACTGTGGCCGAGAAGACCTGAAGCTTCGTGCGGAGCGACAGACCAGGTAGCTTCCACACAGCGTTACGCCACCGATGAAAAGATAATCCTGCTCGACTGATTCGGAGTGAGACCTCTGCTGTTAAACCGGAGCCGGTCATAAGCACACTGCCCAGGTATGGGAAACTCTCCACTCTCTCTACAACTGCCCTATCACCAATTGGGAGTTGTGTGGGTGGAGTGTCCGATGGTACAAAATACCCAGGCAGGTGCTTAGTTTTGCTGGGGCTGATGGTAAGGCCCCACCTCTTCGTGGCAAGCTCCACCACAGCGTTGCGATCCGGCACCACGAGGAGGTAGGGGGTTGTTTTTGTCAGACTCGCACACACTTTCACACTTTCACACTTTCACACACACGCTCATGGAAACGTTCATGAAAAGGGTGGACGAGGGCTGCTGGTTTGGCTCGCGTCAGACCTTGACTTCAAATCACACTTCCCTGGGAATCGATCGATACTCAAGCTTCAGCCAGGTTCTCGGGTGCCACGCCAGGGTGCATAATGTTCACCCACAATTGGAAGGCTTTGGGTGAAAATCATAATTGGTGATTAATTAACAAGATACCTCTTGGTGGATTCAGGCTACGTAAAGGACGTACGCCACGTGTGACGTGCGTGTGTGCGTGCGTGCGTGTCCTCAGCCGCCTGCTCCAGGCCTCTCGTTGGCCGACGTTGGCGCTTCCCTGCCATCGCTGACTCCACCCCTGCCCCGCTTCCCGACCAACCAGAGCGCTCCCCGGCTGCTGGCCCCGCCCCCGACCGCCCACCCCCTCAGGGCGGACGTGGGGGACTCCAACAACAACCACGGCGCCAAGCCGCGCCGGCGCGCCGAGAGGCCCGCGGCGCGCCACCCCGGCGGCTCCGACGACCTCGTCATCCTCGACGAGCCGGGAGACCGGGAAAGCGGTGACGGCGGCGACGCGGGGAGCGCCGGGGGGGTCGGGGAGCCGGACCTCCTGGATCTGCTCGACCCCCTGAAGCAGCGGCCGAGCGCCCGCGACCTGCTGGAGGCGTCTCCCCCCGCCCCGCGGCGCTTCCACCCCTCGCCCGCCGTGAGCCTCTTCGACGCTCCCTGTCCCGCGATGGCGTCGGCGAATCGCTTCGCCCCGTTCCCGCCGGCCAATCGGATCGCTTCCTTGCCAGCAAATCGGTTTGCGGTCGTGCCGCCTCCGCAGCCGCCGCCCGCGCTGGCCAATTGTCTTCAGGCCACGCCCATTGTGTTCGGGATGGGCGGTCCGGCCGTCCCGCCGGCCAATCGGACGTTCCCCTTCAACTATCAAGTGGCCAATCGGATGCAAGTTCCGGCGCCGCTGCACCCGTGCGCAGCCAACAGGACGCTGCCCATGCAGCCAGCCAACCGGTTGCCTCCACTCGTGGCCAATCAGACGTCTCCGTTTAATCAAACCTTCCCACCGGCAAATAGCGTGGCAGCGGCGGCAAACCATCACGTGACCACGCCGGCCAACCAGATGCCTGTGCGGGCGAGGAGGCCGAACCCTCCCACGTCTCTCCCGCTCCCGGATCCCGGGTTACACGACGGTGACGTCACACAGCGCAGGCAGCAGTGGGAAACGTTCGATTGATGATCGCGGAACGGACACGTGTCTGCAGAGAGAGAGAGAGAGAGAAAGGGGGGGGGGGGAGCGCGGGGGGCGCAAACACGGCCACGATCGAACGCTCGAGTTTGCCGCCAAGGTTCAACCGCTCGACGAGGACGGGCGAGACGCGCGGTCGCAGCGGAGCAACTCGCCCGCCCCACCGGCTCGGCGCAAACGATTGGGAAAGTGGTGGCGCTCCTCCCAGAAGCCGCTTCCCCCCACAGCCCCCCGCGCGGCTTCTACCCGCTCTGCCCGGAAGAAAGGAGAAAGCGGCGGAGGCGGGGTGAGCATGTCGGGAGCGTCCGCGTGTCGGGGACGACGCTAGTAGACGTGAGTGCCTTCCAGTGTTAATTTGCCTGAATTATGGACTAATGCCACTGCTGTTTTATTATTTGTATTATTGTGATTTTTATTTTTTGAGTTGGGCTTGAAAGGGTGGGGGGGGGGGGATGAACGCAAAATCCATGGCCTGAAAAGAGAAGTGGAGCTGCAAGATTGGATGGGCTATTCAGGTGAACATCGCTTGTTATCAAGGAAGGATCACCAGATTACGAATTGATAGTTAACTCTGATCTTTGTTGACAAGGCGTTTGCAATCGTATTGCTTGAAACAAATGGTGAATGTGACATTCCTTACGAGTTCAACACTTAACCGGTTGTGTGTTGGAGGATAAACCCACCACAACATTTACAATTCGAGTACCGTCACATTTAGCCGGTGATAACAACCATCCTCACCAGGTGACAGCCATAATTTTGTTTTGTTTTGTTTCCGTGGCAAGCCATACTCATTGGCTGTGTCGGGTGGCGGCGGGTTTAAATGACACATTTATATTTACGTGATCTAACCCAAAAAAAAAAATCGATTATGGATAATATCGGCCATGAAAGCCTACTATGTGTTAAATGATGATTATAATGAAAAAAGCTCACTTGCACTTCCAGAAAACCCCCATAGAGAAGTTCCGTGGCTTCATCACGGTTACTCGCCGCTTCCCGTGTCGGGTCATCGGCCTTCCGGTCACCTCTCGTGAATCACAAGCCGGTAGGAGACTCGGCATTTGGGGGAACCGCCGAGATCGAAATATCCCGGTTAGGCATTTCAGAGAGCCGATTCCCCGTTGCGATTGGTTCGTTTTACGCGAGCGCTCGAGCGAGTTGCCGCAGCTGAGCCCTCCCTCGAGTGACGAGGAGGTGTTGTGGGCATAACGGTGGACAACCGGGGAAAACGCTCGCTCTCCGATGAAAATTAATGCACAGTGTAAACAAGTCAACAAATAAACCCAATTGCTCTATTCGTTCTACTTCCATCTCCGTTAAGTCCTGCACCACGAGACCTTTACCAAGAACTACCGTGGACTGACCGGACTGGAAGCCACGACGTTTTAGTTGCCCGGATTTGAGCGAAAGGCAAAGACGGCCATGGTCGACGGAGCAGTGAGAGCGGCACCCCATCCCTGAGCCTGTTGGTGGAAATTCCCCGTTCTTGGCGAGGGAGCCAGCCTGTCCTTGCCTGGAGAGACGGTGGGCGGCCGTGAGAAAATGAATTCGCGTCCGGCGACTCGAGGCGACGTGGACGGCGCCGTTGGCCAGTCACTGCCATTGTGCCCCGTGGACTGGCGGCCGTGTCGCTGCATTAAGTCAGCTTTCCGAAACTGAAAATGTTTCAGTTTACCAGGTAAGGCTCACTGAGCCCTGTGGCTCTTTTGCCTGAAGCGACCTGGCCACCACAAATGATTGCTCAGCTTAGTTGGCTCATCGCGTGGAAATGTGTTGCAGCAAAATACTCTAAACGCGCGGCGTTGATTCTAGACGTGAAGGGAAAGACCGGGGGACCCAGGGAAAAATCCAAATTCAAATTCCAAATATACAGCACGTGTCAGGGTTGGGATCGAACACAGCACCTCCTACATACCAGGCGAGGGAGATAACATCTCGCCACCGTGGTGCTTTTGCTTCACTGACATGTGGCGCCTCTCCAGCACAAATCTGCCACCCAAAGTGATATAAAAAATAATAATTTCAAACTGTCTCTCCAAGCGGAGTCCGAGCAGTGCGCATCCCTGCCCTATCGGCCTCCCCGATCCCACATTCCCATAGCAGGGGGATCGGTGTCTCCACAAAAGGATATTTGTTGACTTCCCCACAGAGGGCCACAGGAGTGAGTCGTCCTCGTTGCAAATCGCCCCCCTCCCCCCCCAGAGAGACGAAATGCTGAGTTGACCAACCCCACCTCGCCGGGGTTCGAACTTGCGATGCTTTTTGGGCACTCGCCGGTGACCGCTGCCGCCGTGCCCGCGCGGGGAGCGCGTTGCGCCACGGCCCTCGTTGAGTTATTCAGCAGTGGGGGGCTGCGTCTACCGGCGCGGGGACGCCCGCGGCTCGCCACCGCAGTGCCTCCTGCAAGCGTCGTGCCGTGCCTCACAAGGGCTCCCTGCTGCCCAGTGAACCGGAACGCCACGCAGAGCCCACCTCCATTAGACCCAGCGTCATACAGGACCGTGCTCAACCTCACGGGCCTTCCCTCTTTCTACCGGCCCGGTTTTTTTTAATTGTTATTTCCCCTGCCGCTTCTGCCCCGTGGCCGTTCAGAGAGGAGCCACTACGCGAGATTCGGTTTGTGAGCGATTTGGCCGTTTTGTTGCTTTGTCTGAGAGGTTGGTCAATTACTCACCCACTCGCCCAACCCACTCACTCGACCACCCACACACCCACCCAGCCGCTTTCTCACCCATTCACTCACCCACCCACCCACTCAGCCGCTCACGCTCCCACTCACTCACCCACCCGCTTTCTCACCCATTCACCCACCCACCCACTCAGCCGCTCACGCTCCCACTCACCCACTCACGCTCCCACTCACTCACCCAGCCGCTTTCTCACCCATTCACCCACCCACTCACCCACTCAGCCGCTCATGCTCCCACTCACCCCCTCCCGCTCCCACTCACTCACCCACCCGATGAAGGCACCCATGTGACTCATTTAGCCCTGAGTCGTGAACCAACCCAGCAAGTAGCTCTACAGGAGTAAAGGTACTTGCTGGGGGTGGTTAGGCCGAATATTTATTCAGACTGGAGGAATCTCATGAGCTGTGAAGCTCTTTTTCACAATGCCACTGTGACGAGACCACAGACTTTTCGATTATCATCACAAGTAATTAATTTACTTGTGTACGAGTGGTTATTACCTGCAACGAATAGCAATAATAACGGCCCAATATCCCAAATCAGAACTTCCACGGCAACTCGAGCGTGGTGAGCAGTGCAGCACCGCTCCATTGAGCATGGAGACGCTTCCGCTGGAGAGGAGGAATCGTCGCTGGTCCCCTTCGCCCCCCTCCCCAGCCTCCTCCCAGCTGCCCCTCCCTCCAATTCCCTCCCCTCAGCTCCCTCCCCCCTGCTCCCCCTCCCTCCCCCTCCCTCCCCCCTCTCTTCCCCTTGCTCCCCCTCGCTCCCGCGACTGGCGCTGTCTGTCCATGTCTGCCCGTGTCTGGAGTTAGCTGCTGTCTGCCTGCGTCTGACTGCTGTCTGTCCGCATCTGACTGCTGTCTGCCGGTGTCTAGCTGCTGTCTGCCCGCATCTGACTGCTGTCTGCCTGCGTCTGACTGCTGTCTGCCCGCGTCTGTTGCTGTCTGCCCGCGTCCAGCGCTGTCTGCCTGCTGTCTGTCGCTGTCTGCCTGCTGTCTGTCGCTGTCTGACTGCTGTCTGCCTTCTGTCTGTCGCTGTCTGTCGCTGTCTGTCGCTGTCTGCCTGCTATCTGCCTGCGTCTGGCTGCTGTCTGGCTGCTGTCTGCCCGTGTCTGTTGCTGTCTGCCCGCGTCCAGGGCTGTCTGCCTGCTGTCTGTCGCTGTCTGCCTGCTATCTGCCTGCGTCTGGCTGCTGTCTGGCTGCTGTCTGCCTGCGTCTGTCGCTGTCTGTCGCTATCTGCCCACATCTGGCTGCTGTCTGCCCGCGTCTGGCTGTGCTGATGTTACGTCGTGAGACGGGCGCAGGAGGAGGAGGAGGGGTGGGGGCACTGCCATTCCTCCTGCTGAAAGCCTCCAACTTGAGCCCCGACTCGACGCTTCACTTGCCGTATGCATAACCACAACCCGAACGCTCTTCCTACCGGACTCGATTATATCTCGCTCCTTAACGCTGACGCCAAGACTTAATCATAACCTTGGCTCAGCCTGTAGTGGGTATCTAAAGTCCAAACCCTAACGCGGTTCTTCACCATGTCATATTTGCTTTCACCTTGATATTAACCCTGTCCTGAACCATGACACAGCCTGAACCCACTTTAGAATCCCTCATGCTAAGACTCGTGCATAGCTTATCCCTAACCGTGGTTCGAGGCTGCACCCTCATCCTGCCCTGAGCTCCCCTGCCCTTCATTCTAACCCCGGCCCCATCCTTAAACCTCGGCTCGTTAACCCCTGAACCCGAGCTTTCTAAACAACGCCCCTTTCCCCACCAGTGCTGGGTTGCGAGTAACTTGACTTCTTACTCGGTGTTCCTGGCTGTGCACTTTTGGGCCTCCGCCGCTGGCTGCGCGCTCGTTGGCGAGTCCAGCGCGTTGCTTGCACGCACGCACCAACGTTTGATCGCTTTCGCACCGCACGTAGCCAACCGTGCTCACCGGAGGCGCTTGGAACCCGCGGAGGAGGAGGCTGGCGGGAGAGAGTGCCTCGGGGTTGCCCGGATGCCTCTCCGCTGTAATCGGCAACACGCTGCGGGGGGGGGGGGGGGCGCTGGCGGGGGGGGGAGTCCTTTGTCGGCGTGGGGTTCGTGCGGGGGAAACGCTCGTTACGGTTCCGTATCGGTGGGGGGGGGGGGGGGGGGGGTCCCCATCGGTGGGGGGCTCCCCCCCCCCCACCGACTTCCAAAGAGAGAGTTGTCAGGAGAGTGTCGGCGCTTCGGATGCTTTCTGGGCTTTTCACTGCCCTCTCGAGGGGTTTAGAACTTCCTCAGTTTGCAGTAACGTTAGTCCCGTGGTCTCTTTCTCTGTATGTATATATATGTGTGTACACACACAGCTTTACAGTGCGCGGGGGAAAGCCAAATAACGCGGGCGTGTGACGGTTAAGCAACGTTACGCTTGGGCTGTGATGGAGAAAACCAGACAGCGCGGAGAAGTCTGAAAATACGAGACGGGCAATAAATACCAATGGGACGGTGGCAACGGGACGGAGAGGATCGATGCTTGGACCGTGACCTTGACCCGGGAATATTTCGTGCTTTGCGGGGTGAAGTGAATCGTTGCAGTGGTGCTCCGTGCGCTAGGCGCTGTCTGCGTCCGCTTGAGTCCAAATCCTGGCCCAGGACCACCTCTCCCTGGCCCTCCGTCCAGGGTCAATACCTCAAGTACAACTTTCAGTGTTCGTTCTCGTGGATAAATTGGCCCCTTCCATCGTCGACTCGGCACCACCAACGGAGAAAGGGGCCCGCCCCCCATGCTGCTGCTGCTGCTGCTGGGTTGAGTGAGAGGGGGCGCTTTGAGTAAGTTGGCGTTCGAATCATTGTCCGGAGGTTCCAGCTTGCCGTCTCGCGCGCCCGATTTCGTTTCTGTACCCAAACCTTGTTGTGGCAAGTGAGTGAGGAGCCTGCCGTCACGGCAGGCTCCTCACTCGCCAACGGCGGTGTCAGAAGCGCGGCCACCGGCTGTTTGAGATGTCGCTCGCGTGGAGTTCATTCTGAGCAGGGTCTGACGGTGTCTCTCTCTCGAGAGTGTGGTCTCTGCCCAGTCTCCCGTGGGCTGCGGGAAGAAGAAGACGAGTCGGTCCCCAAAGTCGGACTTCCATAATCCCTCTGCTCGCACGAGCTGCTGCCGCCGCTGCCGCTGCCGCTACCACCGCTGCCGCCGCTGCGGCCGCCGCTGCCGCTACCGCCGCGGCCGCCGCCGCTGCCGCCGCCGCTGCCGCCGCTACCACCGCTGCCGCCGCTGCCGCCACTGCCGCCGCCGCCACTGCCACCGCCGCCACCGCCGTGGGGTGACGCGCGCAGCGCCGTTGGCAGACGCCGAGCCAGTCGTGCAAATTCCACATTCCCGTGGCGGGAGCCGGTCTTTCCCGAGAGAAGAGGGCGCGTGTTTCCAACTCGCACCGTTTGCTCGCTCGTTTGACCGACGCCTTCAGGATGATGTGGAGGCGGGTGGGGTGGCGAGTCGACCCCCCCCGACCAGGATTTGAACTCGGCCTTCCGTCTGCGCATGGCCGGGAGTCCCTTGTATCTGACGGAGCCCCCCCCCCCCCCCCCCCCCCCACTGCCTCTGGTCCCGGCTGCCTCGCGCTGCTGAGGATCGACTACCGAGGA